CTGTGGGACCACAGTACCAGGTCCACACAGCTGAACCGAGAATCAGGACATGGTTCCTGGGCCTCCTTCCCCCTAGGATCCCAGAGTGCCCCCCATAAAAAGGTTAGAACACGTCCCTCCTATTAAGTAAATGGCCACTTCCAGGGAATCCACCTCCTCCACAGAGCACCCAGGCCCTCCAACATCTTTTCAGTGAGGGTGATTTTGGAAATCCCACATTTTGAACTGGTTCATGGGACATGGCTTCCCATTACAGACATGGGAAAACAGAGTTTTCAGAAAGGTCATATAATCCTGTCTCCCAGGGATCTGTTGGGCTCTTAAAAACACCGGGATCACAAACGGCAAGGGACCCTAGACAAAATAACCCTGTCACCCCAGCCAACCTCTTCCATTTTAGGGTGAGGGATTTACCCAAGGCCGCAGGGTAGATTGAGCTGGAGGTTCTGACTCAGACCTCATGGTCCTGGGAAGTCAGGGGCCAGAAGAGGGGCTGCTGAAGGATGGAACTGGGACTGCCTACCCCCTACCTTTTCCCCTTTTGTTGAGGGCACCTGCAGCTGTTTAACTAGTCAGGCAGCACTAGAAAGAAGTAGAAGAGAGGTCACGGGAAAACACAACGGTATAGCTGTCTCTCTGAAGCATAGGCTCGATCACGCTGAAAACACAAGATCTAACTATAGCTTCTGGACTTTGAAAAGGGCCTGTCAAGGTGGGCTAGGGTCAGGGGGTGGGGGATTCAGGAGACAGCCTGGGAACACTGGTGGAAGGAAGTTGACACTGGTGGTGGGATTGGTGTTGAAATATTGCATGCCTTGGGGCTGGAGCAGTAGCACAGCGGGTAGGGCGTTTGCCTTGCACGCGGCCGACCCGGGTTTGATTCCCAGTATCCCATATGGTCCCCCGAGCACTGCCAGGAGTGATTCCTGAGTGCAAAGCCAAGAGTAACCCCTGAGCATCGCCGGGTGTGACCCAAAAAGAAAAAAAATGCATGCCTAAAATTCAACTATCATTAACTTTGTAATCACAGTTCTTCAATTAATTTTTTTTTTAAGCACAGGGCAGGAGAGAGAGGGTTCTTTGGGAAGCAGAATCAGAGGTGAAGATAGATGCCTGATGAGGCACAGCCAGGACCGTCAAGAAAGAAAGAACAATCCTTGCTGAATGCATGTTTGTTTTATATCTGACACTTATATTTGGTAGTTCATGAAAGCAAGCTCTGAGGGCTTTATGGGGTGTTTGGGGGAGGGGGCATGTCCAATGATGCTCAGGTACCTGGGGCCACTCCCAGGGTTTTTGGATGGTCTGTGAGAGCTGCATCCAGCCGTGAAGGGGGTAAGGGTCCCGCAGGGCTGGACACACCCCAGGACCTGCACGCAGCAGGTGCTCTGCCTTTCGACTACATCCTCCGCCCTGCGGGTGCTCCCATCCCAGCTGACGGGAGGTGAGGTGAACGGAGCTGCCCTTTCACTACTCTGACAAGGGAAGCCGGCTGAATCCCCCCAGCCTGGGGCTTTCTCCTTAAAAATGCCCAAAGGCAAGGACAGGGTCCAGAGGGCCCAAGCCAGCTGGGACAGAATCTGCCGGAAACTGTTTCTTTCAGGCAGGTGTAGTAGAGAAATGAGGAGGCCTTTGCCCTAAGCTTCAGACAGACTTCTCAGCAGGAGGCAGGTGTGGGTGGAGAGTTGGGAGGAGAGGAAGGGGCTTGGCCCTCCATGCCTGGTGGCCCAGAGGAAATTGCTGTATTTCATTTCAGTTAAGGGACACTAGAGTCAATCAGCAGTATGCTCCCTCCCATCTCCAATTATTATTAATGAACTTACTAGCAAAACCACCCGTCTTTTTATATGCAAACGAGGCCTTTATGGAGCCCTGGGCAATCAGGGCTCATTAGGGAACTCCTAACGAGCCTTCACGAGGATGTTCCCAGTGGGAGGAAGAACAGTAAGGTTTAGGCATCCCCCAGACCCTGGCCCAGCACCAGTCCAGCCCAAAGCCAAGGGTCCAGCCCATCCAGCTCCCTGGTTCCTGGGAGGTCCTAGGTCTCCTTCCTCTAGGGACTCTACCCACTGGTGGGAGCTTTCATTAAAGGGGAGACGATGGTGGGTGGTCTGAACTTTCCGCTGCCCCCTGAATCATCCTCTTGTCGTTCCCTGCCTTAATTTCCCTTCTTTTTTTTTTGTTTTTTTTCTTTTTTCAATTTTTGGGCCCCACCTAGTGGTGCTCAGAGGTCACTCCTGGTGGGTTTGGGGAACTAGATGGTACACAGGGGATCAAATCTGAGTCAGTCATGTACAAAGTACAGCCCTACCCACTGTACTCACTCTGTGGCCCTTCTCCTTTGCACACGAGAAGGGATCCATGAGGTAGGGGCCTTGGACTCTCAGACTCCCCCTACCTTGGAGCACTGTTCCTGGGAAGTGAGGCACCCCACACAGTAGTGTTGAGTCACCCCTTGTTCATGGGCATTTCTGCTCTCACTCCACAGACCACCACCGCAGAGTCCAATGCCCAAGCGAAGGGAAGGATTGAGGGCCACTGGTCCAGAAGCCTGGCTCAAAATGCCCCACTTTTTCTAGATACTCTGTCAGAAGTGGAGCTTCTAAGACTCTCCCTCTCTACTTCTCCACCTGGGAATCCCCACACTTTAAGGCCCCAGAACTCTTTCCTCTCTGTCTGACCTGTGTCCTCTTGTTTTATGCATTTATTTTTAAGTGTGTAAAAAATATAGTATAAATTGGCTCTCTTCACCTGGGGTTGACGGCATACCCAGCAGTGGTTGGGGACTATTCCCGGCTTTGTGCTCAGGAATGACCCCTGGCAGTGCTCAGAGAACTTTCTGTGTTTCTGAGGATTGAACTATGGTCAGTCCCATGCAAGGCCAGTGTCTTAAGCCTGTTATCTCTCTAGCCCTCTTCACCATTTTTTATTTATTTATTTATTTATTTATTTATTGAAACACCATGAGGTACAGTTATAGACTTACAAATTTTTGTGCTTGGGTTTCAGTTATACAATGATCAAGTACCCATCCCTCCACCACCGCGGGTCCCAGCATCCCTCCCACCCCCCGTACCCCCATCCCACCCTGCCTCTGTGGTAGGGCATTCCCTTTTGTTCTCTCTCCATTTGGGTCCTGTGGTTTGCAAGAGAGGCATTGAGTGGCAATCATGTTTGGTCTATAGTCTATAGTCTGTAGTCTACTATAGTCTACTTTCAGCATGCTTTTCCCACCCTGGGAGGATCCTCCCAACACCCTTTATTTGGTGCTCTCTTCTCTATCTTCACCATTTTTAAGTGCATAGTTCAGTGGCATTAAGTAACCACCTTAAGTACAACCATCTTCTCTGTCCATCCCTGGGACATTCTTACTTTCCCAGCATCTTCAATGCTGCTTTACAATTTCATCTCATTAAACACTTACCTTCCCTTCAGAGAACAATCTCTGTTTCTAGATCTCTGGGTACCTCCTATGGTTGTAGTCATTGAAGTCACGAAGGGTTTGTCCTGTTGTTCTGGGTTTTATTCACTCCGCCTGATGTTTCCAAGATTCACGCTTGGGGTCATATGTGCTGAACTTGCCTTCCTCTGATAGTGGAATTGTATTCCAGTGGATGTTTCTAGAACATTTGGGTGATCCATCATCTGATCATGGCATGATGCATTGCTACAATGTGGGTGGGCAAGAACACCTGCTTTCTGCTCTCTGGGGAATGCACTCAAAGTGGAATTGCTTCATCTCTGCTCTTTTTCCACCTTCTCTTCAGAGTAAAGCTGATGGGGTCCTGGGGTGTGTATATGCGTGTGTGTGGTGGGGGCATTCGTCCAGAGTAACCAGGAGAGACAGAAATGAAACCACCCCAAATCATGGACTTGGTACTACTTGCTGAATTGGTCCTTAGAGTCCACCAGCTGGCAGGAAATTAAGCATCATTGTGGGAATGTGGCCTGTGCAGAACTCAGGGAACCAGAGAGATCTGTTCTCCACCTAGCCTGCATGCTCCTTGGCATGGCCTTTATCTGGCCTGGGGGCAGGGGGACATGTGACTTTGGACTCAGGAAGGATGCCCACAGTTGCCTGAGTGCTGGAACCCCTCCTGCTGCCGTTTCCACTTCCATCACTCCTTTCTGCCTTGCTCTACTGAAGAAGGTTGCTGCAAGGAGCCCCCAGAGGCCATGCCCTCAGGAAATGTGGGGGAGCCACCTGTCTCTTTCTCTGTGTACCCCAAACAGTGGCAGGAAGGAGCATCTGGGGTATGTTGGTTCAACTGCCTGGCACTGATTCTGTTTGTGTCTACAGAAGTCTAGCTGGGTACTGCGAGCAGACACTGCTGGGAATCCAGAGACACCCCACTTTCTAACTTATATGGGGCAGGACACCCACTCTTCTTACCAGACCCCTGGACAGAGCTGATCTTCCTGGGGAAAGAGGGTCTGAGGTTCATTTCATACAACCTCAAGAGGTCCTTTGGAGCAGAGGGCTCCATCTCTAGTCAGCCTGGAGCTGAGACCTTGGACCACCAATGGGATCATGGGATCAAGGGGTGAGGCTAGTGGGCGGCGGGGGGGTGGGGGGGGTGTCACCAGACCAGTGGGCAGGGCCATAAGGCTAGTGGGTGGGGTCACCAGACCAGTGGGTGGGGTTTTCAGACCGTAGGTGGGGCCGTGAGGCTAGTGGGCGGGGACTACAGACCAGTGGGCGGGGTCATTAGGCTAGTGGGTGGGGGTCATCAGACCAGTGGGCAGGGGCATAAGGCTAGGGGGGCGTGGCTAACCATTGGGGCAGTGTAGCCTGGGATGTGGGGGAACAGCAGACAGAGTTCTGGAGTGTGTTGAAATGAATCCGGAAGGAAACTGGGGCTTGCTTCTCAGTCCCATGGCCACCTGCATCTTCGTGGGACCATCTGGGATGGGTCCAGGTGTAGGTGGGGGAGGGGAGCACTGAAGACCTTCATCCTGGTCCTCCCAGCCCCCAACCGAGCCGCGCTGTCTGTCCCCAGGACTGTCCGCAGCTGCTGCGTGTGGATAAGATCCTGGTGCCTGTGGAGGTGATCAAGCCCATCACACTGAAGGCCAAGAACCTGCCGCAGCCGCAGTCAGGGCAGCGTGGCTATGAGTGCATCCTCCGCATCCAGGGCGGAGAGCAGCGGGTGCCCGCGCTGCGCTTCAACAGCTCCAGCGTGCAGTGCCAGAACACCTCGGTGAGTGCCCCTTGAGTGCCCCCTGCAGCAGCCACTCAGCAGCAAGTCCCGGCTCAGAGCAGAAGCCCTCATTCAAGGACCAGAGAGCAACTGAGCACGCCCCGGCCCAATTAGGTTAATTCTGGGCCCCGCCTCTGATCTGCTGCGTCATTTCCTGAGCCCCTGGAACATGGGTCAGGACAGTGGATGGTGGGGAGAGACCAGGAAGGTCATGCCCTGCTTGCTATTTAGGGTGAGGTCCTGAGCCAGTCCCTACAGCCCGGCAGCTCGAGTGGAAGCCACTGGGTGCCTATGGCTTCCTTTAGACCAAAGTCCTGGTGGATGTCAAGAATTGCTTATATGAGTCACAAAATCCTCTCGGTCGCTGCAGTCTCCCCAGCAGGTGAGCTAGCAGATGGCTACAGAGTCGATCAAACAACCCAGGATGCTCCAGGCTTCTGGGGACTTTCACTGTGTCTGGGGCAAGACAGGGCAGGGGCCCTCCCTGGGAATCATGTGATCTTCTCTTGTGTGCTTTTTTTGGGGGACAGGGCTCATGCAGGGATCTAGGGTGCCCTTGTTGTGAGAGAGGGACATGGAGCCCGCATGAGCTTCCTGTATGCTTCAGGTTTGATCCCCCAGGATAGAACCTCATAACAACATTTATCTCAGAGCTCTGGGTGGGAAAACAGCAGGAGGAAAGAAGGTCCAAATTGCATTGCCACCTCTCTGCTGTCGAAGGTGCAGGGAGGAAACTGAAGGTCATGCCCCCTCCCAAGGTCATGAGGGGTGTCTTCCGCTAGTGGGGTCTGGGATGTCCGACCTTGATTGAGACACTTAACCTCCAAGCTCCCAAAAGACTCTTCCAGGCTGTGCCTTTGTGCAGATGAACTGCCCACAGACCAGAGAGCTATATAAATGCTAAGTGGGGAGGCGGGGGCAGGGCGTCTCTGGGGAGGGGCGCCATGTCCAGGCTCCCCAGCTGTCTGGAAGCAGGAAGCCGCTGCATGCCGCTGCCCCTTGCTCCCCTGCCCAGGTGGAAGTCTTGGGGGGGTGGGGTCCAGAAATGAGAGTGACTTCCCCAGGGACCGAGGGGGCGGGAAGAGCACCAGGGTTAATGATTTCTATAATATTTCATCGTCAACATCCCAAAGAGGGGCCAAGCAAGAGCAAGGAAGGTCAGCCAGATGGGATCCCGAAAGTCTCTTTTCTTTTCAATTTTCTTGCCAAAGAAAAATGCACGGACACACACACACACACACACACACACACACACACACACACACACACAGAGTCACCTCAACTTGCAGGAGGCTTCTTGGGAGCACATAGCTCCCCATGCAACCACACACATGTCTGACACAAGCACCCCAGAGAGGGCTGAGTTATTGTTCGCACCAAAAACCTAAACGTGGGCAGATGGTCTTGCAACCCACCCCACAGTGCCTGCTGGAGATTCAGCGCACGTAGTGGCAGAGGCACCAAGTCCGAGCGCTCCTGCTGTGAGAGGGGGACAGACATCTCAGCCCTTGCTGCCCTCCTGAGTTAGACTCGGAATTGAAATGCAACTTTGCCGACACTGGACACTCCCCTCTCTGCCCAGGGCCACTCAGGTGGTCTCTGCAGAACAGAGTCTTTGTGGCAGGATCGGGGCCTATACACATGTGTGCAGACAGGCAGGCGATGTGAATGTATGCACAGAATGTGTGTGCACACATGTGCGATGTCTCACCTGGCTCCTGAGATGCTCTCGAGTGCCTGCAGATATGCCCTGGGCACCAACTGCCACTTCCCCAGTGGAGCCTGACCTGAGCTGACCTGAGTGGTGAGAATATGGGACAGGAGTCCAGGGCCTGAGGCTGGAACAGAAGGGTGGGGGAGAGGGGTAGTGGGAAGAGACAGGCTCCAGCTCTGGGGCAGGTACTTCAGCAGCCCTCCTAGAGGTCAGGGCAGGTTCCTGAGCACCTTTGAGGGTGGCCCTGGTGGTCCCCAATACTGTAGAGCCCCAGCACACCACCTACTTGAGACTTGCATTGAACTGTTCAAGCCTGGGGGGCTGAGTATTACCCGAAGTGGCCGTGGGCACCTCCCCTCCTCATAAGCAAGAGACCTTTGGCCTCAACCAATCCAACTTCAGACAGACCCAGCAGCCACACTGAACAGTCTGTGGGGACCCCATTGTCCTGCAGGTACCAGGTTGAGTCTGGTGGTCTGCAGGGACTGAAAGCTCTGTAGGGTCTCTGGATACCCACCGTCACTAGAAGCTAGGGACCAGCCCTCCGCCACCATCCCTGGGGAAGTCTCCTCCCTGCTCACTCCTCCACCTTAACACACAGTCAGAGTCCATGGCTGCCATCCCTCTGCCAACCCTGCTTATCCTCCTCTGAAGTCTGCACCCCATGCCTGGGCTGGAACCGCCCCACTCTGTCAGTCTTGGCTGAAGCAGCAGCTGCCAGGTTCTGCCCTGCTAGAAACTCCAGTACTGCCACGGGATCAAATGTGCATGTGCCTGGCTCCCCGACCCAAGGGAGTAGTCAGCCGGTGCCTCTCCCAGTTACACTCCCTGGGGAAAGTCCCTTTGTACACTCCCACACCCGCCTGTCCAGGCCCTGAGCCCCACCCTGGCTGAACCCGACTTCCTGAGGCCCCCGTGACCCCCTTTTCCTCTGGTCTCTCCGCAGTACTCCTACGAGGGGATGGAGATCAACAACCTGCCCGTGGAGTTGACGGTCGTGTGGAACGGCCACTTCAGCATTGACAACCCAGCTCAGAATAAAGGTGGGGAACCCGCCAGGGAAGCGGGTTGCAGCTCTGTCTTCCTGGTCATAGTGGAGGGCAAAGGGGGTCACTTTATAGTGTGTGTCCTACTGGTTTCCGCCATAGCCTCTCCGTCACGGCCATGACTTTGGAGCTGCTAATCTTCTCTGCTCAGTGCCGTTGCTTTTCTTTCCTTTGGGTCTTTTCTGTGCCTGAATGGCTCAGGGGATTAAGGCTCCCAAGTGTCCCCTGGTGGGGGTGGCTGGGACATAGGTCTTTGCTGCCCACCACACATACAGCTCCTCCTCCCATCATTGCCACCCCCAATTTCCTCTTGCCCTTCACCCACAGTGCACCTCTATAAATGTGGAGCCATGCGTGAGAGCTGCGGCCGGTGCCTCAAGGCAGACCCCGACTTCCAGTGTGGCTGGTGTCAGAGCCAGGCGCAGTGCACCCTGCGCCAGCACTGCCCGCTGCATGAGAGCCAGTGGCTGGAGCTGGCGGGTGCCAACAGCAAGTGCACGAATCCCCGCATCACCGAGGTAAGCCGCGATGCAGGGTGGGGGGGACCCTTCTTGTCAGCCTGGACCTCATGTCCATCTTGACCTACATTGGGTTCCCCTGGGGCATGCTGAGGTCCCTGGCGGGCCAGCTGAGCATCCCCTCTCTTTCCTGCCCAGTTTCTGCAGAGACTCAAATTCTGTGCTGAAAGCGGGAGATGGGGGGTGGTTTAGGGCTCTGGGGGAGTCCCCAGGTGAGCCAGGTTCTTTTTTTTTTTTCTTTTTAAATTTTTATTAGTGAAACACCATGAGGTATAGTTGTAGATTTACAAATTTTTGTGCTTGGGTTTCAATTATACAATGATCAAGTACCCATCCCTCCACCAGTGCCCATTTTCTACCACCATGGATCCCAGTATCCCTCCCACACCCATCCCCCCATCCCACCCTGCCTCTGTGGCAGGGCATTCCCTTTTGTTCTCTCTCTCCTTTTGGGTGTTGTGGTCTGCAAAAGAGGCATTGAGTGAGCTGGGTTCTAAGAGGACCCCCAGCCCCTGCTTTGCTGTCAGACTGGGAAACTGGCTCTTATGGGACTCACCCAGTTGAGGCTGGTCCAGCCCGGGCAGGTGGAGAAGTTGGAGGTAGAAGACTCTTGGGACTCGCCCAAAGCAAGACCTAAACTGTAAGGGGGTAGGTGTGGAATTTGGGACACCTCCGGATGCCCCAGAGGCCATAAAACAAATGATCAAGGACAGGGGAGACCCCAGTACACAGAACCCTGTCTCAGGTGGGGACATTTTACCCTCAGTGCTACTAGCTGCAGAAGAAAGAGACAAAATATCAATGTAGGGATTATGGGGAACACACAACTCAGCCCCTAGTGCCGGTTGAGGGGAGCAGGCTCACTCTCTCACAGGTCATGAGGCTAAGGTTCGGGGCCCTTCATCATTTTGGAAGTAAGAAGCATTGGGGGAGCGTGAGAATCCTGCCATACAATGGCTGAAGTACTTGCCTTGTACATGGTCAAACAGTGTTCGATCCCTGGCACCCCAAATCATCCCCCAAGCCTTGCCAGGAATGATCCCTGAGCACAGAGCAAGGAGGACATCCTGAGTACTGCCAGATATGACCCCCAAACCAAAAATAAAAAAGGATGAGCTGGGTGCTGAGCCCCAGGGTCTGACACCCCTAAATGAACATGCTCCTGGCCTCAGGAACATATCCCCTCCTCCTCCTACCCATACTGCCAGACTCCGCCCATCCAGCTCTCGGGGATCCTCTATTCCCCCCCACTCTAGCCCCTTCACCATCCATAGTTCTGTTCTCCAGAAACGGATCTTCTCCCAGCCTCTACTACAGTCTCTCATAAGGAGGTTAATCTCAGTAGTGAGGCTCCAACTAGGGGAAATTCCTTTGGCCTTGAAACTGCAGAGTCTTCTGGGGGAGTAGTGGGGAGGGATGCTCTTTAGCTTTGCCTCTGTCCCCCAACACCCCTCCCCATGCCCCTCTCTCCCTTTTCAAAGAGCCTCCACTCACTCCAAGGCCTTAACCAGCCGGCCGAGGAGGGGCCACCCATGACACTTTGCCAGCACCACAGCAGTGTCACTTGCTCTCTTCTTGGCCAGACACCCAGCAAATTGCAAGTATATAAAACAGAGCCCTCAGCCCCCAGGACCATTGCATCAGTCTTTCGGGGGACCCTGCTCAGAGGGGAACCACACAAACCTGTGTGTGGCTCCCGTGGTCTGTGACTTATCCAGTAAATTGATGGACTAGACATCGAATACTAGCCCCTTATCTCCTTTCCCGGGAATGAGAGGAAAAAACGAGCTTGAAGCCCTATGCTGACAACCTGACTCCAACACACCAACACAGACTCAAGTTCTTGATGGGAACAGTCGAGGCCAAGACAACCCCCCCCCCCCCCTCCCCGGCGGCTGTTGGACCCATTCAGGGAACAGGACCGGGATGATGGGAATGAATCATGGGAGCTTCACCAACAAGATGCTTCCTCCCTTCAGATCATCCCAGTGACAGGACCCCGGGAAGGGGGCACCAAGGTCACCATCCGAGGAGAAAACCTGGGCCTAGAATTCCGGGATATTGCCTCTCATGTCAAGGTGGCCGGTGTGGAGTGCAATCCTTTGGTGGACGGCTACATCCCAGCAGAGCAGTAAGTGGTGGGGGGAGGGGGAAGGGGGGGGAGCAGGTGCTGTCACCATCTGTCCTTGTCTCCCTGAGCCAACAGCAGATGTTCTCAGAGCTGGCGGGGCCATCGGAGAATGCCTCTGACATTCTAGAGGAGGGCTGCCACCCACCCTGCCCCACTGATAATGCTACTGCTGTGGAAGAAGTGTGGATTGACCGGGCAACAAGGAAAATGGGTTGGCTGCTTCCTGGGATCTGGGGGTGGGGAGGAGTGAAACAGAGCCACCTTAAAATTCAATAGGAGAAGTGTTGGTTCCATCTCTGACCCCACCCCCTCTGCTGTCCCCCACTCACCTGCTCTCCAGTGATCAAAGATGCAGAATCTGTTCTTTCTATTAAGATGTGAAAATCCACTCCTCATGGTCACTCCCAGACCTGAGGGGACTTTCTATGGCTTATCCTTTCTTTTCCTTTGGGTGGTGGTGGGGGAGGGGCGGGTGGAGTGTGTCACACCCAGTGGATCTTAGGGACTACTCTTAGATGGGAGAATTTATATGTGATGCCAGGAATCAAAACTAAATATTTGCTAAAATTAAATGGCTAAACTTGCCGCTTTCAACTTGCTTTCCAAAGTCATTATATGCAAAGTGAAGAGATGGATGGGAGGCAGGGAATATTGATAATACCCAATCACAGCGGTTTTTTCTTTAAATATTTATGGTTGTTTCCTGATTTCATTAATTGATGATTTCCTGCTTTCTGTCATTAAATTCTGTTTTGTTTATATTATTTCTTCTCGAACTTTGGTTGGAATTTTTCTCACAATTTCTTAGAACAAGATTATTATTATTTTTAGTTACTTTAGTTTTTATTAAGGTATAATTAACATCTCATGTTGCATATATATTTTACCTTATGATAGTTGGTAGATGCTTTTTCTTCACATAAAAAGAAATTTCATGAATAGGGGCTAGGAGTTGGCTCACTGGTCTGGCACATAAGCTTTGCCTGTGCCAGCATCTGAACTGGATCCTTAGTACTGCATGGTCCTCTGATCACCACAAAAACTCCTGCATTGAAGGCCTAACAGATCTGCGTCCTCTGGCCTGAGAACTGAACTGTGTAGCCTAACTGCCCAAGTAGCGCTGGGGATGGCCCCAGGCACCCTGAGAATTATGTGGGGGCCCCGCTAAAGAGATTGTATAAATAAAAGGGAAACATCACACAGTGAGAGAAGATCATACATCTGCAGTGCAAGAATCAAATGTCACATGAAAGCATGTTTGATGTTGATCGTAATCAATAAAATGAAAACACGGGAATCATTTTAACCATCCTTGTGCAGGCAAACTGTGGAGGCAGGTCAATTAGTTCACATGCATAGATGTTGGGAGGGAAAACTTTCTGGAAGGCAGGTGAGGAAATTGTGTCAGAAGTCTTTAGCCTGAAGACCAAAGAGATATTGCAGTGGGGAGAGTACTTGCCTTTCATGTGGCTGAACCAGGTTTGATATCTGGCACTCTATAATATGGTTTCTCAAACCCTGCCAGGAATGATCCCTGAGCTGAGAGCCAGGAATAAGTCCTGAGTACTGCCAGGTGTATCCCCCAAACAAACAAACTAAAATCCTTAACCAGGCCATAGTATTTGTAGAGTATTTCCTAAATCATCAGAATGCATGACTATCTGCAAGAAGGATTATTTTAGCCTTATTTATAATAGTGAAAAAGATAGAAGAAATTCATATGACTACAGTAACCTATCCAGCCATTAAATCTGATAGTATAGGAGAAGAATGAGGACCAAGCACACACAGAGAGTGTATTAAGGGAGAACATAGGTGATAAAGCAGAATGCAGGTTGCTAATTAATTTTATACAAGAAAAGCAAGACCAGAAACTAAAGGATGATGTTGTCTATTTCTGGTGGTGAAATTGGAGAGTGGGTGGTAAGAGCATGCAGGGCTTTCTGTACTTTTTTTTTTATATTAACATGTATTAATTATGTTAGAAACACAGAAAGACCTCTATTTTTCTGGTCTCTTACTCAGAAATTCTAAGAGAAACTCAGAACCTCAAGGCCATAAAGTAAAAGCAACAAGCAATTTAACCACACTGACACGTTTAAACTTTAGTATGGCAAAGACATTATAAACAAAGTTTAAAAGACAAGTTGGCTGACTCCCTGGGAGAGCATAATTGCAATATTTATCACAGACAAAAGTTAATGCTCCTCATTCAGAAACTTGTACAGAAAAACCATCCATTAGCAAAATAGAGAGGATTTTAGACTAGCCAAAGGAAAGGCAAGAGAATACACACACACACACACACATACACACACACAATCATATAGATTCCCCACCAGAAGCCAGAGAGATGAAAATGAAAGTGGGAACATTATGCTGGAAATATCTCAAAGGATTGATCATATCTAGAGTTAGCCAATGAGCAAAGTAATCCTCCCAATTGCTGTTGATGGAGGTACAAATTGGCACAGATTTTGCATCATTATTTTCCTCCAGCTATCAAATCAGAAGTGCACAAACTGACCCCACAAGTTTCTTCCGTGGAAATTGATTCGCGTAAGTCGGCAGTACTTCAGGATGTGTGTCTAGGCTGGTTCATCTTATGGAATTATTTGGAGGAGAAAAATTGGGCTAAGTTAACTATACCCAAACAGGAGGAGAGTTAAGTAAATGTGGGCACAGTCATCCTCTACTCCCTGTGGAACAGGGAGTTGTGTCCTCAGTGAGCTAAAGGGAGGCCCCTGCTACACTGCTGAGCCGGAGAGGGGTTTAGAACAGTGGGGAGTTAGGCTCATTTCATCCTAGGAATCTTGTGTTTGTGTGTAATAAGTACAAGTGTTAAATAGCTCTGTCACTTTAGTGTTTATGCATGTTGTATAAAGCATGAACATCTCTGCAAATGTTTGTATTTGGGCAAGTTGCCTGGCTTTTCTGTAGCTAGGTTTCTTAATTTGAAAAATGGTTTTTGTTTTGTTTTTGTTTGGGGGGGGCACACCTGGCTGTACTCAGGGCTTATTCTTGGTTCTATGCTCAGGGATCACTCCTGGCAGTGCTCAGGGAACCATTTTTCATGCAGGGTTTTGAACCTAGGTCAACACCATGCAAAGCAAGCAGCCTACTCTCTCTCTCTCTCTCTCTCTCTCTCTCTCTCTCTCTCTCTCTCTCTCTCTCCAGCCCAACTCCATTTGTAAGATAAAGATTTTATATATGTAGATACCTTTACAGAGGTCCAGAAAAAGGTCTCAAGGATATAGGTCTATAGAAATCCTTAAAGAGGGGTTCAGAGTATAGAAAGGGCTAGTTTATTTTTTTACCTCCGATATCCCTGTATGAGCTCATAGTTTTCAAAACACCTGAACAATTCTTACGATAAATACAATAAAAGACATTCTGAAAGAGAAAACTGCAGCTTTCCTCTCTCCAGCCAGAAATCTCCTCTCTGACCCCCATGGACACCAGGTGCTGGGGGAACTTCCCCGAGGTTCTATGTGCATGAGAAGTGAAACTCTCCTCAAGAGCGACCTGAAACATATAGTCTGCTCTGTGGCCACCTTGACTTACTCTGTGCCCTTGGATAAGTCCCCTGACATCTCTGACCCTGCCCGTTCCAGTCCCTAAACTGTTGAGCTGAGACATTCCCCACGTTCTGATCCCCAGTGGTGTGGACACCTCATGCATGTATTAGGGCCAGAAGATCTGTGACCTAACTGTGGTGACTCTGGGCTTTGGATAGAGTCCGTGAGGGTGCATTTCCCGTATCCCAAAAACCACAGAGGAGACTGTGCAGGGAGGAATTCGGCATGCCTAATGCCTCTTCCTCCACTGAGATCCCTGAGCAGATCATCTAATCATCCTCTTGCAGATTGATGTTGGGGTGCAGCACTCGAGGGTCAGGGCTGGGGGTCCTGACATCTCCTGTTTGTGACCTGTGGTCATGGCCTGTGCTCTCCTCCCCCTTTAGGATCGTGTGTGAGATGGGGGAGGCCAAGCCCAGTCAACATGCCGGCTTCGTGGAGATCTGTGTAGCTGTGTGTAGGCCCGAATTCATGGCTCGGTCCTCGCAGCTCTACTATTTCATGGTGAGTGCAAACCCCAGCGCCAGGCCAGGGCTGCTGCACACTCATTTTCCTGCCAAGCTTGGCCTGCCCAGACCCCTGCCCAGAACCCTGCCCAGACCCAAGGCTTGGTGTCAGGATGTCCTGAAGCCCTGGATTCAGGTGCAACTTGTGCCCCTGCCGGCCTGTGATATTGGGAAGGTTCTCTCCAGTCTCCTGGGCACCCATGCCACCTGGCTGCAGCCGTGTTAGTGACCGCTGGGTTTGGAGCCAACTTGCTCAGAGGGTGAACTTAAGACCAGCTGATCCACCTGAGCTGGGCCCAACAGGAATACGGAGAAGGCACACATGTGCCTGGGTGTGAGGAATGGAGGGCGAAGCGTGAGCTTTGCCTCGGACAGACCATCCCTGAAAGTGAAAACACTAGCTAAGACGGAAGGGAGGTGTCCCACCCTGGCTTCCTCGGCTGCCTCAGCCGGACTCCAGGTTTCCTGTCTGGCCCCCAGCCCAACCTGGAGCCTTTGTATGGTGGCCCTACTACCACCGGGGTGGGAAACGGGTCTCAAGAGTCTAAAAGGGGTCTCTCTTTACACGACAGACCAGCCTCTGATTGTGGGTGTGTTTACCCAAGTCCCACATGCCAAGGGACGCCAAGTCAGTGGGGTCTGGCCAGATGCTGGCCCTGGGGCCCTCCCATAGGACACAGGGAACTGGTGGCAAGGGCGGTGAGTCCTAACACCAAAGGGCCCTGCCAACCCGCCATGAAATGAGCAGGAGCATAGCCTGAATAATGAGGAATTTCTGCAGCTTTAAAACATGTCTCCAGACCCTCTGCCAGCCAGAGTCCCCCTCACACAGGCAGCCCTGGAGAGGAGCCCCCCAAAGCCAGCAGGGTCCCACTGTACCTCTCTACCCCCTGCAGCTACCACCAAGGACACCCCCGCCCACCCCAGCTAAGTGGCCCTGCCTTCAACAGTGTCTCCAGCACCCTGGTACTTAGATGGCCATTATCTGCCAGAGGGTGTGAGCAGACACGCATGCTGTGTGCATAAGCACATGCAGACATATGCACACATGCGTGCTCGTATGTGCATGCGGGCTCACACATATATACACAGATCCACACATGCACATGTGCAGAAATGCACATGCCCACACACCTGCACATGTATGTACCTTCCACATGTATGTGGGCATACACATGCATATGATACGCACAGGCACATGCACACACATGCACCCTGACCCGGGACCCACAGCTCTCCCCTTACAGTGAGGAAAGGGGTGGGGGACCACGTACAGAAAAGGACCCCCTCAGAGCCCTGTGGATCTAAGGTCTTTGGGCCCGGCTTCATGGTTAGGAGGTTAAGGGACAGGTCCTGTGTCACACAGAGCCATGGAGGTGGGCTCAGACGCTCTTTCTGCAGCCTCACCTGGCCTGTGTTGGGTCATGGGCTATGGCAGAATCAGAATCAGCCTATCTTTTGTGGCGCAGACCTACTGTCCACACAGGCTGATGGGGGGTGGGCGGGAGGAGGGGGAACCTGAGTTAGATTCTGAGTCCAGCTGTCAGCAAGTGTCATCAGATGCCCCACATCTGGGAGGGCAGGGCCAGGCTGCAGAGGCGCGACCCCTGGGTACCCACGTGCCAGGCTGCCAGCATTCAGGCTTCTTGGATTCTGCTGAGGCCTCCCGCCCAGGGAAGTCTCTGGCCTGCTGGGGGTGCTGAGCCGCTCCCTCTTCCATGCAGGCTTCCTTCAAGGAGGAGGGGGGGATGGAGAAACCTTCATTTAAATGCAGAAACAGGCTTCCCACCTGGGACTGGGGGAAAGTTCTTTCCATTAAAATGCTAATGAAAGAACAAACTGCAACTCCAAATCCTCAGCTCCCAAGCTCCTGGCCCTCATCCCCAGCCCCCACTCCTCACTGCTCCACTGACCCTTGCAGGGGTCTCTGGGCCTCTGGCAAGCAGGTGCCCTCACAGCCTGCTGTTGGCTGCTTCTCTGCCTTGCTTGGCTCTCGGGAGATTTTGGGTGGAGCAGGTCACCTTCAGAGACCAGAGACAGAGAGGGGCTGAGCTAGAGCTCAGAGGGAGAGGGCAGCCCCTGAGTAGCTGGGTGACCTTGGAAACTGGCCTCCACCTCTCTGAATCAGGGATAGGGAGCCCTGGTGTCTACTGTGTACAGATGCTGACTGATGAAGCGACATCAGTAGACATGGGCCAGAAGCCCTCCGCTGTTGTGTGTTCCCTATAACTGCTGCTCTCAGGGGCTCAGACATCCCCTTCTGCACAAGCCTGAACAACTGTCGAAAGGCCCTCTTGACTAAGGATCCTGGAAGGCAGTTGGGGGAGCCTGGGTGCCGCCTCAGAGCCTCCCAGAAGCCTTCTCAGGCCCACCACTTCCTCCTCAGACGCTGACACTCTCAGATCTGAAGCCCAGCCGGGGACCCATGTCCGGGGGCACCCAAGTGACCATCACGGGCACCAACCTGAACGCAGGCAGCAACGTGGTGGTGATGTTTGGGAGGCAACCCTGCCTCTTCCACAGGTACGCACCTGGGGGTGAGAGAGGAGGGGGGGTCTGCCTGACCCAGGATGTGCCTCATTCACGCTGAGGTGGCTGTTCTCACTTCCGGTTGGGACAGTAAGTTTCTGGGTGGAGCTGGTGCTCCCTGGAGACCTGTGGGCATCTCCTTTCCTGCCTGGCACTCTCACCACCCACCATGCAGACCCCTAGAGTGCCTGAAGGGACACTGTGGAGTCCAGAACTCCTTCGCAGGGGCTGCACCCCATGGCTGCTGAGAGTGGGTCGGTGGGTAAATAAGAAGGTCTCATTCCGTGACCTCTCCAGGCTCAGTCTTGGGAGAGACAGGCTAAAGAGAGTTTTCTTGGCCAGCAGCTGCAGGCTGGAAGGTGGCGAGCTCCCACACACTCACAGGAAGTGGTTTCTATAAAGACAGCAGAAGGTTTTAGAAAGTGGGGTGCAGGCCTCTAGGGTGGACGATTGCCCCCTATGGGCTGGTCCTGAAGGAACTTGTGAACCTAAGAGCTAGGCTAGGCTGAGGCTGAGGGCCACCACCTCCTCTTAGTTTCTGGGGAAAGGGATCTCAGACCCTCCCTTCTTTGGGGGTTGTGTGTCAGGGTCAGTCTCTGCAGACCACAGCCTCCAGCCCCAGAAAGACAGATACCCCCAGACACCCCAGAATTCCATCTAGGGAGGACCTCAGGATTCCTGAGGTTCTTTAGAGTAGTATTTCTCAACCAGGGGCCATATTCACCATCCTGTACCCCAGCGATATTCCAAGGGTGATATTACAAAGGTGACCATTCTGTCCATTGGGGGGGGCAAGGCATGAGACTAGGGGCCCAACTGGTAGGAGGAGTGTAAGGTACAGCAAGTAAACAAGGTTGTAAGGGGCCATGATCATAAAATAGGGTTGAGAAGCATGGCTTCCCAGGGAGGTTTGATTTATGTACTTATTTTTTTGGGGGGGGGGGGCTGGAGTGCAAGTCCATGAACACTTGTATGTTTGAAAGGTGCAGTGTTTGTTCCCATGCCACCCAGGGTCCCACAGAAGATTTCCTGGGGGCTGGGAGCAGAGCTACACTGAGGGTCCTGTCAAGGCTCAAAGCAACCAGGTCAAATCCTAAATTAGCAAATGTGGCAGAGAAAGTAATTCCGATGCTTGTCAGCATAGCATGCTGGGAAGACTTGACCGTGAACTGGTACATCAGAGAAGCGGAGGTGGTGGGAGGAGCAGGGCAGAGCGAGGGAGAGATAGAGAGAGGTAGGGAGAGAGAGAGGGAGGGAGGGAGGGGGAGAGGGGGGAGGAGAGAAGGAGAGGGATAGAGAGGGGAAGAAAGAGGTAGAGAGAGAGAAAGAGAGAGGGAGAGAGAGGGGGAGAAAGAGGGAGAGGAGAGAGAGGTGAGAGAGAGGGAGAAGGAAGGAGAGAAGGAGAGATAGAGAAAGAATAAGAGGATGAGAAAGGGAAGAAAGAGGGAGAAAGAGAGGGAGAGACAGAGAGGGAGAGAGAGAGGAAGAGGCTCAGATGCAGCAGAGAAGGCCATGGGGAGGTGTGTATCAGTCAAGGAGTGGCATGAGGCTGGGAAATGACAGATAATGTAGAGGAAATGCAGCCTTCATGAAGGCAGGACAGGGTGACCGGGTGCCAGTGGGCAGAGGGTGGAAGAACTGATCCATGCTCCAGGTCTCAGGCTTTCAATGGTGGGGTGGACATTGCCTCACAACACTGACTCAGTAGGATTCTTTATCTCCAGTGGGGCTTAGCAGGACCCAAGCTTGAGACTTAAGCCAACAATGGATCTTAGAGGACCCAGTGGTGGGGGAGGTTAAGGCATAAGGGAGCTAGTGTGGCAGTGTGGGACACCCCAGAGCCCAGCAGCAAGGTTTTCTTCCAACTCCAGGCGCTCCCCATCTTCCATCGTCTGCAACACCACCTCCTCGGAAGAGGGGCTGGACATGCCGCTCACCGTGCAGGTGGACCGGGCCAAGATCCACCACCAGGACCTGTCCTTCCAGTACGTGGAAGACCCCACCATCGTACGCATTGAGCCTGAGTGGAGCATTGTCAGGTAGGCGTGGCCTGGAGGGAGTCCCCCCGCACCCAGCATCTTGCCTGTCCTTCCTCAGCTCACCAATGTTGGGAGAGTCCTTGGACCCCATCCTGTCTGGGTCCTCTAAGAGCACCCCCTACCCCCAGTCACAACCTTTCTGCCAGAGCTTCCTCTTCTGACCTCTAAGCAAGACCAGACCAAGTTCTGACCACCAGGAGACCACAGTCCTCAGGATGGTGCAGGAATTTTCTTTTTTCCTCAGGATGGTGCAGGAAATTAAGGGAGAGGCAAGTTCATTGCACAATGCCTGGCATTGCACAATGCCTCCCTCCTATGCCCCTCCCCCCCTTAACTCTCCTCAGCCCTCAGCGCCTTGGGGGTGTCAGGGAAACCAGGAGAGATGGTCTCCATATGGGTCATGGGTGAATCCAGTCCAAAGAGAATCCTTTTCCCTTTCTGAGGTTCTATTGTCACACAACTATGTTTGCAGACCTCATGCAAACATTGTTAATAGAATGCAGTTGAAGTTGAAGTTATATTATTTGGACTCTCAACTTGGATCTTGGTTTTCAAAAGCAAGGACTTTGCAATCTGGTTTATTTTTCACCTATTACAAATGTATCTAAACAGTCCTCCATCAAATACTGCTAAGGCAGGCAGCGGGAACCTTGAGAAATGAATCTTTGGTTTGCCTCTGAAGAAAGAGCACATATTCCATGGGAAACGTTTATAAACCCGGTGCGGCAGAGCACCATTGTGATGTTTCAATGCCAGTTTACAAGTTCAATAACTAATGGGTGTTGAAAGGGTGAGGAGAGCCTGTATACACATGTGAAACTGTAAGAGCTATTGGATTTAGCTGCTATTCCATGTAAACCATAAGTCTACACAAAGCGAGACCCAGGGCATTTCTAGAAGATTCTAAATCAACACTCTCAGCTCAGTGCATCTGCTGGGGTCAACAAGGGAATGCCACACTCTGATGACAGAGGACCAACTTTTTAACCAGAGGTCAGCCACCGCTAGCCAAGGGGTCAAGCCTTTATTTTATAAAGTTTTATTGGAACACAGCCACCCTAAGTCATAAATGAGCTGCTTTCTTATCACCAGGGCAGCACGGAGTAATTGCAGTAAGCCCTGTGGCTGGGGAAACCTCCTTTACAGAAGGAGCATTTTATCTCGACCTCAGACCCAGAACAAAAGGCAGATTTGGTTGAGATGGGACCAGATCATTCTCTGCACTTGCTCTGTGAACTCAAACCTTAAATACTTTAGCCATGATTTGAACATAGATGAATCTAGGAATATAGGGGGGGATGTGGGGAGAGGGGGAGGGGAAAGGAAAATAGTTGGTCAAAAGTGATTCTAGGAGTCAGAGGGATAGTAGAATGAGTTGGGCACTGGCCTTGCATACAACCAACCTAGATTCATTCCCCAGCATCGCATCTGGTCCTCTGAGCCCCTCCATCCAGGACTGATCCCTGAGCACAGCCAGTGTGGGCAAAAAACAAACAAACAAATAAACAAAAACAGCAACAACACTCACAAAAAAACATGATTCTAGGCATTGCCAGAGAGACCCGGAGAGTCATGGCAGCTGGGAGGTGCTTATCTTCTACAACCCCAAAGGAATCACAGCTGGCTTCATTCAGGGCTTCCTCGTGGCGATGTTACAGGCTCAGCTGTGCTTAGAAAGGGCCCGGGTTACCAACGGGCAGGTTGGGAGACGGGTGACTGTGTTGAGCTGAGGATGTAGATTGAGAAGATAGCTGACTACAGACGCCCATACTCAAACACGGCATGGGCAGAAGAACCTCTCGGGGTTTCATTGGCATCTTCCTGCATGCGTGCATGGGTGTCCATGCATGTGTGCATGTATGTGCACAGGTACCTTACACATGTGGCGGGTGATGAGAGGAAGCAGAGGTAAAGCACTGGGAAAAGAAAGATGGAGAGAAAGAGAAGGGCTCAGAATTGGCCATCACACTTGAGCTGCCTTAGCTAGTTGGATCCTTCTCAAAACTAGTCCCTGACTGAGGATCAAGTGTTTCTTTTGAGGGACTTCCAAAGAAGGTCAACCCCCCTCACCCTCTGCCAAGCTCAAGTCAGCTTTGGGGCTGACATGAAGACAGGACAGCGGCATCTGGTTCCTTTTGAAAACTTTCCCCTGTGGCCTGATCCTTCCCTGTTAGCAGACTCCCTACCCCCACCCCCGAACCCCCAGTTATGGGGGAATCTAAATCCAGTACCTTTCATGGGGCTGGACTGATAGCACAGTGGATAGGGAGTTTGACTTGCACGTGGCCAACCCGGGTTCAATTCCCAGCATTCCATATGGTCTCCTGAGCACCGCCTGGAGTAACTCCTGAGTGCATGAGCCAGGAGTAACCCCTATGCATTGCCGGGTGTGACCCCAAAAACAAAGAAACAAACAAATAAATCCAGAACCTCTCACATTTCCATTCCTAGAATGGGTCCTCGGTCTGAGGCCTCTGTTTCACCCCCCAGATTTCAGCTGATTAAAGCCTCTAAGGTGGAGATGGGTGGGACTTCCCTGTTGGTGCAGGATGTTGGACATGGATTCAGGGGAGCCTGTGGGGATGTGCTCTGGAGTAGGGGCTCAGGGCACATGATGAGCAGCACAGCCTTCTCAGCCTGGTGAGGGGTTGGGGAGGGCACGGGGGCTGCAGAGAAGCAGCTGGGAGACCTCAGGGAACTTTGCAAGCTGTGGCCCTCCACGGGGGTCTGTGCTCCCGATGAGCTCAGTGCAGGATGGCCAGGACATCTGGTCCTGTCTCCTCCTGGGGGGCTGTACGCCCGTCCTTATTATTATGCCGTCAGCTAGTCATAGTTGTCCTGGAGGACGAGGCCCTGCTGCCTGGCAATCATTGTCTGTGATGTCAGTTCTTGGCCTGATGGATGGTCCTCCTCCTCTTCTTCCTCGCCCCGTTGCTATTCCTGTGCCCATATTCACACGCCCTCTCCTTTCTTCCTGGCCAGCGGGAACACACCCATCGCCGTATGGGGCACAAACCTGGACCTCATTCAGAACCCCCAGATCCGCGCCAAGCACGAAGGGAAGGAGCACATCAATGTGAGTCACGGACTGGTAGGCGTGGAGGGGACGGACCCCCTCCCCACCCTGCCATAACTCACATCCCCCAGGGGTGCTGGGGAAGGTCTGTCCTGGACCCAAAGCTCCATGACAGCCCATGCCCCTGAGCACTGGGGCGGTGGGATGGGAGAGCAGATTATGAGTGTCTTCACATCTTTGTGTATAGACATGGAGGAAGCTACTGCTTCGGCAGTTGCATCCCCTAATTCTTCTACCCTCACCCCCCAGTCACAGCCATACCCACACAAAGGGGGCTGGGGACCCACTGCTGAGATTGCTCTGGCTGTGGTGGCACCACCTGCTGTGGCCCCTGTCATCAACACTGTATAATGAGTGTCCCAGGACACTCGCTGGTGCTTTGGCATTTTGGGAGTGGGGGCACAGAGATGAGCAGCACAGCCTTCTGCCCTGGCCTATCCCCATTGTCTCCCTTTGTGGTGTCTCCTGTAGCTCTGCGAGGTTCTGAACGAGACAGAGATGACCTGCCAGGCACCTGCTCTCGCCCTGGGGCCCGACCACCAATCCGACCTGACAGAGAGGCCTGAGGAGTTCGGCTTTATCCTTGACAACGTGCAGTCCTTGCTCATTCTTAACAAGACCAACTTCACCTACTACCCCAACCCCGTCTTTGAGGCCTTTGGTCCCTCTGGCATCCTGGAGCTCAAGCCAGGCACACCCATTATCCTGAAGGTAGGAGGCAGCGGGGTGGGGGGCAGCAGGCAGGCAGGAAGGACATTCAAAGATCAGAATCCCTCCTAGCAATTGAGGTGTGTGGGGGCTGGAGGAATAGCACAGCGGGTAGGGTGTTTGCCTTGCATGCAGCTGACCTAGGTTCGGTTCCCAGCATCCCACATGGTCCCCCGAGCACTGCTAGGAGTAGCACAGAGCCAGGAGTAACCCCTGAGCTGAGTGTGACCCAACAAAGCAAAAAAAAGCAATTGAGGAGTAGCCAGGAGTTGGTTGGTTCTGGGTTTGCAGTGAGAGGAAAAGTCTTGATGGTTTGTGGGGACCTGAGCAGAGCAGTCAGAATGCAAGTCACCCAGCTCTTAATCTTGGTTCCCTGAGTTCAGAATCTGGGAGATCAAGGCTCTGACAGCTTCCTCCTGGGCCATGCTCTGCAAATCAAAGCCAAGTTTCTTTGATTTGGCTTACTGATTTGAAGAAGCCAAACCCCTTCTTTTAGGGGCTGAGGCGGGAAGACCATACTGGCGGTGCTCAGGGCTTCTGCTAGCTCTGTGCTTGGGGGTCGTGTGGTGCTAGGGACCTGGGCCTCCCTCATGCGACACCTATACCAGCCTCTGAACCATCTCTCTGGCGCCTGCAAATTCACTCTAACTTGAATGACACTCTGAAACACAGATTCTTCTGAGGATGCAGGTGGTTTTTTTTTTTAATTTTTAAATTTTATAATGTAGTTCACAATATTTGATTGCATTTAATATTAAAACACCAAATCCTACCACCATTCCACCTTCCCACCACCATATTTCAGGTGTTTCCATCCCAAACCCCAATCCCTGCCTCAAAGCAGAACCAAAATAATATATTTCCCTCTAAGGTTTGGTTGCCTCCTACTTTGAATTCCATCAAATGCGGTGCCATATTCTTGGAATATAGATAGGGTGTGTCTTATGAAGTGATGCATGGATGCATCTGCAGCCATGTGGTCCAGGAAAGATTCACTTGTGGGTGAGGCTCATCCCGAGTATGTGGAGAACGGCCGTGAGCAGGGCGGCGGTTGGGTTCTGGAGGTTTTTGGCTGCCAGGGCTGGGTTCCTTGGGGTATGGAGGGGTCTCACCTGCCCCCCTCTGGGGCACCCTGAGTGAAACAGCCTGGCACAGGGTCCAGCGGCATGGTCATGGCGAGCCTCATGTTCCTCCCTTCTGGGAAAGAAGGACATGTGATCTGGATGGTGACTGATCATGAGATTATCTGGCGTCAACTAGGGGTGGCTTATGGGTGTGATTGCTGAGTTGCCAGAGATGGGGGGGCGTGAGACACGGGTAGAGAATCTCTGTTCCTGATCCCGTTGATCCCAGGATTCTCAGCCACAGAACCCTACATACCTGGGTTTTCTGGGGATTCACTTGTGGATAAGGTTTGGCCCGATTGTGTGGAAAGCAGCTGTGAGCATGGCCATGGTTTAATTCTGGAATTTTGGCTTCGGAGCTGGGTCCCTTGGGGCAGGGAGGGGTTTCACCCACCCCCCTCTGAGACTCCCTGAGTGAAACATGCGGCTGCAGTTTTAGTTGAAAAGAGCACTTTGACCATTGACTTTGCACCGAGGAAGTGGAGAGTGGCATAGTCCGTGGCAGAGTGAGGTCCAGTGGTCACCCCACCTCGAAGGGGCCGGGGAGTGATGGGGGGGAGTACACGGCGGCCAGCTAGACTGGGGTCCTGACTCTGGGTCCCGGGACTGGGCTTCTCTGTCCTTCCAGGGCAAGAACCTGATCCCGCCGGTGGCTGGGGGCAACGTGAAACTCAACTACACAGTGCTGGTCGGGGAGAAGCCCTGCACCGTGACCGTGTCAGACGTGCAGCTGCTCTGCGAGTCCCCCAACCTCATTGGGCGGCACAAAGTGATGGTGAGGCCGGCGGGGTCCCTGCATGGGGTTCTGTTCAGGTGGGAGCTGCTACCTGCTGGGGGCCCAGGACTTGCAGACCTTCGTCCCAGCTGCCTGCTAGAAAACGTTATTGCTGGTTTCTTCCCACCCCTGCGCTTCTTGTCATGCACAGCCTCATCCCTTCTGTGTTAGGTGCCGCTGACAGGGGTGGACTAGGGAACAGCCTGATGTGATGAGCTGAGAGGCAGGAGCTGCCACAGGGAAGCCCCCTCCACCACCACTTCCTCCTGTGGGCCTGGGCAGACCCGTCACATCACCTTCTGAGCTCAGTCCTCTCCTGGGATGAATCTCCTCAGGAATCCGTTCCTGGCTCTGTGGTCCAGGATCTTTCTAGACTAGTTATGTTGTGCCTGAGTTTCAGATTCCCTGATTATGGAGAGACCAAGTCCACACACAATATTGCAAAAGCACAAGAACTTTTATTACTAGCTCGAGCCATTGTGAGCTCGAGCTAGGGTCCAAGTCTCATCCAATGCAGTGGAGTCTTGACAAGGACCCCGACTCCAAATCATGAGCAGTTTATATAGGGCTCAGAGTTAAGAAACAATTTATAGACTGGTCTGTTTTTAGCATCGGCCCTATTACAACAGTGATCAGCAATTAGACAACAGTAACAGTTTCTAAGGAGGGTGCAGTGAACCCTCATGAATGGCCAGATCCAACTGCCCAATTCTTTATCTAGGCAAATTACTCAACTGGGAGTTTAGCAGAAACTGCAAGTCCTGCTTTAGGGAAACAGAAACTGAGGCCTAGTTGAGACTGCAGCTTACCATAGCATCAGTTTCACTTTCACAATCATGAGCTATTTCCCTGTGACAATCAAAACATCGGTTCCTGAATGTGAGGCGGGGTGATTCCCGTGTTGAAAGGAGCCATGTGGACCACTGTCCCTCCACCCCACGACACCCCTCCTTCAGTTATCACAGCCCAAGGTGGTCCTGCTGGCTGAGTCCCTACCCTCCTGCCCACCGCCCGCATGCTACACATTCCTGGGAGGTGCCGCCCCTACCCCCATCCCCCATTGCCCGCTGTGTATCCCCAGGCCCGCGTCGGTGGCATGGAGTACTCGCCAGGCATGGTGTACATCGCCCCTGACAGCCCACTCAGCCTCCCGGCCATCGTCAGCATCGCTGTGGCCGGCGGTCTCCTCATCATCTTCATCGTGGCCGTGCTCATTGCCTACAAACGCAAGTCCCGCGAGAGTGACCTCACGCTGAAGCGGCTCCAGATGCAGATGGACAACCTGGAGTCCCGCGTGGCCCTGGAGTGCAAGGAAGGTATGCAGAGTGGCCCAGCAGGGTACAGGTTATGCGTGTGTGTGTGTGTGTGTGTGTGTGTGTGTGCCTGGAACACACATGTGAACTTGTGTACAAATGTGTGTGTGCACAGGCATTCATGTGTGTGTCTCACACATGAGCAGGGCACGCAGGCTGGGCTAAGTTTGGGGAGCTCCCTGTGGAACTCGAACCACTTCTTTAAGTCTCTACTCCAATGGTATCCATCCCATAGCGGGTTCACTTCCCTGCCAAGCCAGGCTGCATGAGGCTGAGCTCCCCTTCCTCACCCCTGTGATGTCCCTCCTCTTCTTTCCCCTGCATGGACAGGGAACTTTTTAATTTTGCTTTTGCTTTTTTTTTCGGGTCACATCTGGCAATGCACAGGGGTTATTCCTGGCTTTGCACTTAGGACTTACTCCAGGCGGTGCTCAGGGGACCATATGGGATGCTGGGAATCGAACCCTGGTCGGCTGTGTACAAGGCAAACATGCTATTCGCTGTACTATCACTCCAGCCCCAAGGACAGGAATCATATGAACCCCCTCCCGAGCACCTTCCAGCCTAGACTCCTGGCCAAGTGAACCGAGTCTTGCTTATTTGGGAGACTCAGAAGGTGTCTTGATGTGCCACCGAAGGTCACCTCCAGCCCATTTCTTCACGGGCAAGGCATGGCCAAAGGGTGCTCTGAGATTTTCATTAGCTGATCTGAATTTAAGTAGAAAATCTAGGAGTTGGACTGTGGGTCCACCCCTACCTACCTCCTCCCCCCTTCCCCTGGCCAAGAGAGTCTCCAAGAGAAGGTGTGAGCTGGTGCTTTGCTGGGGATGTGTGCGTGGAGTCCATCCAGAGGCCCTGGGCTCCCTCTCACCTCCCTCAATAAGCAGCGCAGCCTGTCTCTGAGGACTCTTAATGACGGCCTTTTATTATATTTACGCTGCTGTGTTTTCTTCCCCACACCTTGTTCTTCCCTCTAATTAGGTGTAGCGATTAGAATCTCGTGTGCGTGGCAGGCAGGAGGACTTCGCATGCTAGAGGTGCTCAGCGGCTTGAGGGAGAGCTGCGGATGGAGGATGGGGCTGGCCTCTTCCTCCTCTGCACACAGTGAGCCCCGCCAGGAGGGGCGTGGGCACACCAGGGCCTTGCGAAACTGGGCTCCTGCTCCCATGGACCAGATGGGGAGTGAGTGGCAGAGTCAGGTCGGAGTGTCTGGGAGGGGACTGGGAGAGGGCTTGGGTGTCAGGCCTTGGGCAGAGCAGAAGAGAGACCCAGAGGCCTTGGGCAGTGAGGATTGATGAGACACTGTTTTCCCAGATCTCCCAGACCTGGCTCTGAGCTTTGCAGGGCAACTTGGGGCCAGGGATGATACTTGGTGGCACATACACAGCGGTTCTGCAGAGGCCCAGCCTGGCATTTGCTGTGTAAATACACACTTACACACACACACACACACACACACACACACACACACAGTCACTGCTTAATCAGGAGTGCACCTTTTGGCACGCACGTGCGCGCACACACACACACACACACACACACATGCAAACACATGTGCTCACACATGCTCACACACATTCCCTCATGCCAACAAGCGCATGTGTGCACACGCGCGCGCACACACACACACACAGGGTTCTCTCTGGATACACTCATGTGCTCAGCACGGCTTGGGGCCACAGTACCTGTTCCCAAGGTGTTTAGTTCCCTTTGACCTGCACACACATGCACTTTGGATAAATTATCTTTAGAGGATTAGTCCATGGTTGGAAGCCTGCCTCAAGTGCTAGGGGAGAAGGCAATTGGGATAGAGAGGGACCATTCTGACAGATATTTGGAAATGATCACTTGGGTAAGAACTGTGTGCTGAAAGCAGGTAAAGGAACAAACATGATAATTTCTCAGTACCTATATTGCAAACCGTGATGCCCAAGAGTGAGATAAAGAGAGAGAGGTCAGAGAGAGAGAGAGAGAGAGAGAGAGAGAGGAAGAAAAATTACTGCCATAGAGCCATAAAGGCAGGGGAATGATGGGAGGAAAACTGGGAACGTTGGTGCTGGGAAATGTACACTGGCGGAGGGATGGGTGTTTGATCATTGTATGACTGAAACCCAATCATGAGCAGCTTTATAACTGTTTATCTCACAGTGATTCAATTAAAACAGACAAACAAAAATATAGAGTAAAAAATAAATTCATTTTAGACACAGGAGGTTTTTGCCTCTCCAGGCAGGAACAACAGCGTCCCCAAGCCTCAAAGCCCAAGTGCCCTAGGCCCGTGATCAACACTGCAGGGGGCAATGGGGTAGTGCTGTGTGTGTGTGTGACAGCTGCAGAGCTCCCTGGCATGGCACTGGCTTTGCAAGGCTCTCGAGCTGTGGCGCGTGAGCCCACCACATACCATGATTCTGTTCTTGTGTCTGCAGCAATAGATGAGTCAATGTCCACTGGCTGTTCTGCCTGATCATGATGTGTTCACCACATCCCAGTTGTGTGTGCACGCAAGTGTGTATGTGCATACGTCTGTGTGGGGACATGCATGTGTATTTCATGCACCCTATATGTGTACACGAGTAGGCAGTATCTGCATGAGCACAGTCCTCTGGCTACCTCCAGCCACAGAGGAAAGGCTGGGGCATAATTAGGGAGCATAGAAGAGCTTTGGGCTACAGACTGGGCTTCCCCAAGGACAGGGAGGGTCTTGGTCTCTATGATCCTCTGGGCACCTAAGCTGCCACCAATGCAGTCCTGCCACATCCTTGACCTTTCAGAAGCACCTTCTTGCAGAATGGAAAAGCTCCAGCCTGCGTGTTTAGACTGGAGAAGGATGTGAGGGAGTTTATAGCAGATGCCTTGGGAACTTACCGGAAATGGAAGATCCTCTCCCCAGAAAACAGGCATCTAGTTTCTGTATGCAGAGGGTGGTAGAGCTGCCGGCTGAGCCTCACTGGGTGGTTTGATGGCTCCAGTGAGCAGCATGGGGCATCAGAAGCAGTTATTCTTTTCTTTTTTAAATTTATTTATTTATTTGCTTTTGGGGTAACACCTGATGATGCTCAGGGGTTACTCCTGACTCATGCACTCAGGAATAAACTCCTGGTGGTGCTTGGGGACCATATGGGATGCTGGGAATTGAACCTGGGTCATCTGCATGTAAGGGAAATACCCTACCCACTGTATTATTGCTTCAATCCCCAGAAGTAATTATTCTTAAATCTGCAGGAGTAGCCATTGTAAAAGCCGGTTTCAGGACCAGACCATTGCTGGACCTCTCTTCTCTCCCTCAACCCCCTCACTTTACATTCCTCTGTAGCTGACAAAACAAAGCCCTTTGTTATGAGCTGGGGAGGACTTCCTGGGTCCAGCAGCAGCACGGAACTGTGGACAGCACCCCTCAACCCTCTTTCATACTACTCTCTCCCACGCCTTTTTCTCCCATGTTCCTGTTTACTAAAAACACACACACCCGGAATATAAAATAACATAATATGAGACTGACATTCGAGGACAGTAGACACAAGGGCCAGGTATATTGCTCCATAGTTAGAAGCCTCTCTTATGACCTGGGGGATAAAGCAGCTGGAATAGAGAAGGGATCACTAAGTCAGTGATGGTTGGAGGGATCATTCAGGATGGGAAATGTGTGATAAAAGTAGATAAAGGACCAAACATGATAGTCTTTCAGTATCTGTATTGCAAACCATAATGCCCCAAAATAGAGAGTATGGGGGAAATTGTCTGCCATATATGCAGGGGGAGGGTTGGAATGGGGGGATACTGGGGACATTGGTGGTTGAGAATGTGCACTGGTAGAGGGATAGGTGTTTGATCATCGTATGACTGAAAGTCAAACATGAATGCTTTGTAAGTGTAGCTCACTGTGATTCAATAAACACGCACACACACACACACACACACACACACACACACACACATACACACACACACCTTTACCCCTGCTTAATCCTGTACCTCATGGTCCATTGCTTATGTGCCCCTGGGGTTCATGACAGGTTCCAGATTTTCTGTATTGGGGTTGCCTGAACCCTGCCAACCTCATCATTGTCATGGTCTTCTCTCTGTGCCAGCCTTTGCGGAGCTGCAGACCGACATCCATGAGCTGACCAGCGACCTGGATGGAGCAGGGATTCCCTTCCTGGACTACAGAACCTATACCATGCGGGTGTTATTCCCAGGCATCGAAGACCATCCCGTCCTCCGGGACCTTGAGGTGAGACATGGTGTCCATAGCCCTGTCCGTCCTCATCACGTCTGTCACAGTATTGGGCCCAGAAAGCTGGTGACTCCGTCATCTCCAGCCCCCATGTGTGGTGGTAGTTCTGGGGGGGGTGGGGGCGGAGGGAGAACTGAAGTCAGAAGGGGTAACAACTTGTTCCTGGTCCTCACATCCCCTTGCCCCACCCCTGAGGCCTCCACCTCTTGTCACTGCCATCAGTCTCCCCAGAGGAAGTAGGACTAAGTTAGACACCCTCAGAGCTGAGATGGAAGGTGGAATTTGTCTATCAGGAAGGGGGTTTGTAGCAGCTGCCTTGGGAACTGACCAGAAATAGAAGATCCTCTCCCCAGAAAAAAAGGGGCATCTGGTTTCAGTATGCAGAAATAAGACATCAGCAGAGGAAGGCAGGGGAGGTCATGGAGCCTGGGGTTAAGAAACCACACTGGAAGGGTTTTGCCACTTAGTTGGTGCTGGCTGCATGTCTGTGGGAAGGCTAAGTGGAGATGGGGAAGGGAATGATGAAAACATTAACTGTCGTATGTACCAGCAGGGACCACATCTCTGGAACATTTTATCCCACTTACTGTCTAGCATAGTATCTGGCTTATGCATATATTCATATTTCCCTTTGTTCCAAAAGGGATTTGGAATGACTGTTAAGACAAATAGCAGAGCAAAGTGAAAAATATAAATGCGAGGAAACAGGGTAGAATAATCCCCATAAGGAAGAGTCTCTGTTTAGGTGGCCATGGGCTAGCAGCCCAGTCTAGTTGCAGATACATGACATGCACTCTCTCTTTTTCGTCTCCCAAGTGGGTCTGTGCAGACGCATCCAGAGGCAGGGAACAAAGGCCACAAGAACCCAGTGGTTGTCTGGGGTGCACAGCTGGGAGGGCATGGTGTCGGCCATTGAGTTAGAATTATGATTGTGGGCTTCCAGTGACAAGGCTATGGCCCTAACCTCGGGAGCGCTACCGCTCTGTCATGCCTGGAAGCCTTTGCACCTTCATTAGAACACATCAAAAATCTGCATCCCCAACAACAATGAGAAATAAGCAGAGCCCTGCAGCTGGTCTTGTCCCTAGAAATCAGATGCAGAGCTGTTGCAGAAAGTTGCGTGGTTTTGCAGGTACCAACCCTAGGGACTGATGGTGGGTTCTCCAAGCAGCTATATAGGTCGTGTCCCTCAGCAGTGAACTCAGTGAGTCCCGGTGGACTTTGGGGGAATCACACACAATTCTCTGTGCTTGTTTGTTGAGTACAGTGTGTGTGTGTGTGTGTGTGTGTGTGTGTGTGTGTGTGTGTGTGTGTGTAGTATTAAACCATGAGGCACACAGATCCTGGGGCTGGGCTCAATGGCCACACTGGGAATGTACCTCCTCCAGCTCTTTGCCTTCATGTCTATACTTAGGATACATGGGCAACAGTCCCAGCATCTAATGGTTCAGCTCCACAAATTTTCTCCCCTAGACTGTGCCTTGATTTCTCAGTGAGATGCACAGAGAAGAGCCCTGCTCGGCAGGCCTACTTCAGGAGGGAAAGGCCAGCTAGGGTTCCCTCGCCCCTCAAGCCCACCCTCAAACTCTGGCCAACTCTGTGCTTCCCTGCAGTGCCATACAACCCTGCCTGCCTCACTTCCCAATGTCCAGGCACCCCCAAACTGAGTGTTCTGGGACTACAGAAGGAACCCTATCTTACCCATCTGCCCAGAGACCCCAGATCAGTCTAGTCTTAGAAACTACCTTTTTATACCCCGGAGACATGGTCCACTCCTTTGGCTGGACACCTAGAAGGTGTGGGATGGACTCAGTCTTCTCAGAACCAGAAGAGTCAAGTCACTGATCCTCCCTCTCTCAACCTCATTAGGGGCTTTGGGATGAACACCCCCATCCAGGTCTGCAGAAGGCTTCTGGGATTTGGCTCTGCTCGCTCCAGTCTTGCTCTCTGTCCATGTCCAGCAATGCCCACTCTGTCTCTTGCTGAATGATCATAGGCCAGGCAAGGGACTTAATTCAATACTGCAAAAAGCAGCTAAGGTGAGTGTGTGTGTGTGTGTGTGTGTGTGTGTGTGTGTGTGTGTGGTGTTTCCCAAACAGGTTGTCAGAGAGTTAAGAGGAGCCAAGGGAGAGGGCTGGAATTGTCCAAAGTCCCTGATCTGTGATGAATGGGCTAACACCATGTCACTGGGACCCCTGAGATACTCTGGAAGGACCCTTAGCTTTACCTCTGACTCATATCCTGCCTGCTTTGTGAATGAAGCTCACAGGCTTTTATTTCACCTCATCCACCTCTAGCCTAGGAAGCCTCTTTTTCTGGTCTTCTCCCCAAGAGGAGAAGTGCTGAGCCCCCTCTGCTGACCCCCAAGAGGGGGGGAGCAGTCAGGCATGCTGCCCTCTCTGAATCAGAAACTCTGAGATGGATAATGGCCAGGCGCATCTTTGGAGGCTAGTCATTTGCGTGGGTTCTAAAAAGTGGGTTAAAGTAGATGTGAGGGGCCAGAATGATAGTACAGTGGTTAGTGTATTTGCCCTCTGTGTGGCCGACCCGGGTTTGATCCTTGGCATCCCATATGGTACTCCAAGAACTGCCAGGAGTGATGCCTTAGTGAAGAGCCAGGAGTAACCCAAATATCGCCAGGTGTTGCCCCCAAAGAAAACAAAATCCAAAAAAGTGTTCTTTCCTTTAATCTGAAGTGTACAACATAGGACGTTCCATCCATTCTCTTCACCACCATCTACCTCCAGAACATTCTCCATTCTCCCAGGGGGGAAACTTGGTGTGCACAGAATGTGTCCTGTGTCCATCCCTCTCATAACCCTTGACAGCCACTGTCTGTCCTTTTATGATTTTGACTACTCTACACAGAGCCTATGAGTAGAATCAAAAGCTCTCTGTCCTTCAAAAGATTTATTTTGCACCAAAATAATTTTCTGTCCTGGGAGAGGAGGTGGGAGAGAGGTATGGCAAGTGACGCTCAGGGTCCTAGGTGCTCTCCTGGCAATATTTAGCCAATCAGACCACACAGTTTGATGCTCAGGCCCGAGGATGTGGCATTGTTTGGGCCTTGTGGTACCCAGGACCATCAGAGCTACAGCCAATGGTGCTGGTGAAGGGGTGGCATGTAGTCTAGCCAGGGCCCATGGTTTGTGAAACATGCACCTCAGTGCTCTCTCTCCAGCCTCACACAATGTTTGCATTCAGCATGTCGTAGCCGGTGGTTGACTTTCTTTCCCTCGAAAGTCAAATGATCTTCCATGACTTCTACGTGCCATTTGGTGGGTCTGTTCCTCTATACCCAGACATTTGGGTTGCTCCTTCCTGTCAATTATTATAGATCACATTGCTATGAACAGGAGTGTGTGAGTATCTCTCTGAGCCCCCCTGCTTCCCATTTCAAGTGATCCATCAGCAGAGGTGACTTTTCCTGATCCTATTCATCGCTCTGATTGTGGGCAGAAATGAATTGAGACTCTCCCACAAGAACCAGGGTTAGGGAAGGCTCCAAACTTCTATGACACCAGTCCCGTCACCTTGCATGGAATAGTCTCTTTTTAGAGGTCTCCAGACCCCTCTTGCCATCAGAAATATCAGTCCCTGTTGGTTTTCTGAGCGTAGAAATGATCCCAGGAGAACCACTGACCCATCTAAAGAGAGTTGCCAGTCTGGGGGCACTGGGATGCCAGCCCACTGGCTGGGCATGGCCACAAATGAAGATGGAGGAGGAAGTGCCCATGACTCTAGACTGGAGAGCAGGCCATCTCATCCTCTCTTTAGTGACCATCGGGTAAAATCTAGGCTTGTGTGGAAGGGGTTTCTGGGGCACTTGGTCACCCAGCAGTCCTGTAAAAGCAGAGCCCACGGCCAGCACCTAAACCCAGTTTCAATTCATTCTTGACTCTAAACTCCAACCTGTGGGTTACCATGAACATTTCATCTCTAAGTTTATATCCAGGCTTCCACTCAATGATCCAACCATCTGGTAAAAAAAGGAAGTCTTGTTTGGGGGTGGCATGGGCTTCACGGAGTGGGAGCGGCAAGCTACAAAGGGGGTGGGGGGATTGTTTCATACTCTTTACCAAGAGTCTTCGCTTGCCTCTCCCCATTCTGCAGGACCCTGTGCCAAAGCAGCCATGAGCTTGGGGATTCTCAGGCTCGAGCGATCTGAGAGAAGCAGCCAATGGAACGGGGAAAGCAGCTCATCAACCCCCCCGCCCTGGGCTGTACATGCTTGTTTTATTTAATGTCCATAAAACCCTGGCACGAAGGTCCCCATGCTTGCATAGAGGAGGCTGAGAACCCAGGGGGGCAGGAGACTCAAAGGGGACAAATCAACCCTTTGAGTAGAGTCAGACTTGTTCCTTCTCTGATGTTCACTGATGCCTAACCAAATACTGTTATTCCCTGCCAGAATAACAGCTTTGCCGGACATTCTTATTAGAGGCCTCCCTGCAGCCATGCTGGGGTGCAAGACTCTCCGGGCCCCTTCCCCAGCCCATGTGTCTGAAACCACGATAGGATCTCCTCACAGAGCCCAGGGCAGGGTAGTATTTGTTGCCTTGCCAAGTTGTTAGGAGCCAGTTTGGTCAGTGTGTGTCATGTGGCGGCTCTGTGCCCAGGCGATGGCACTCTCTGCTACCACCCAGAAGAAATCAGAGATTCTGTGATGTGCAGAAGCAGGAAGACAGAGGTTTGCAGTTCTTATTTAGAGATTCTGGGTATCGAATCCAGGGTCTCTTGCTCATAGAGCAGGGCAGGTGCTCTGCTGATAGGGGCAGAGGTGAGGAGGATGCAGCCATGGCTGAGTGGGTGCTTGTCAGTTTGGGGGAGAGTCGTGGGAATCAGACAGTGCCCCCCTCCCTACACACCCTGACCCCCCCCATAATTGCACCCAGGATAACTGCAATTATGCTGGATTGTTCAGTGCTATCCCCTCTGTATCCCACTTTGGGAAACAGCTGCAGAATAAAGCAGGGGCACATTCCTACCCATTCACCAAGTGCCATGTCTGGCTCTGTACTGCACACCTGGGCCCTCCATGCCCCCAAGTAGGCCCGGAGTGGAACCAGGCAGGGCTAGGCTTGGCTCTGACATCTCTCCCGCCTCGATCAGTGGATCTTGAGAGGTTTGTGGGGTGCTGTTTGGAGAGATGGAACAGTGTTGGGTATCTCCAGCATGCAGAGCCACAGAGAGACAGCTAGGGGAGTACGTGTGTGTGTGTGTGTGTGTGTGTGTGTGTGTGTGTATTGGGGAGTGGCTCAAGTGTTTGTATCTCCAGTATGCAGAGCCATGGACAGATAGTGTGCGTAGTGCTTGTGTGTGTGTGTGTGTGTGTGTGTGTGTGTAGAGGGGGCCAGTGTTTGTACCCCTAGCATGCAGAGCCCTGGACAGACAGCATGTGTGGAGTGCTTGTGTGTGTGTGTTTGGAGGGCCAGTGTTTGTATCTCCAGCATGTAGAGCCACAGACAGACAGCATGTAGAGTGCTGTGTGTATATGTGTGTGTGTGTATGTATGTGTGTGTTGAGGGGAGGCAGTGTTTGTATCTCCAGCATGCAGAGTCACAGACAGATCTGTCAGGTTCATACCTGCTCCCTTCCCAGTAAGAAACTGAGGCTACTCAGGGCCCGCAGATAGTAAATGACTGTGACACGGTGAACCCCAGCATCACTGACTCTGAAACTGGGGTCTCTGGGGGGCTCCCAAACAGTGAAGATGAGGCCCTGTTGTCCTCCTGGATGTACTCAGCCAACGAGGCTGGATGCTCGGTGCCGGGGCCTGCCGGCATGGTGCTGTTCAGTGCAGGGAGGGGGGGCCTGGGGCCACCCCAGTGGGGTTTAATCATTTTCCAGGGTTTACAGACAGTGCTGGAGTCCAATTTAGGGCCCTGTGCTTGTGTAGGTTATACCCCTGAGCTCTTTGTCACCCCAGAAACTGTTTTCTGCTTCTGCATACCCAGCCTCACCTCCCTCGGGGGCCCTTCTCCTACAGCACCCCATTCCACGGGGATGCCTTTTGGGGTGCAGAGTAAGGCCTCTGCCTGTGTGGAAAGGTATGGTACCCACATTGCCAGGGCTCTGCTTTGTGCTGCCCTACCCTCTGTGAGCACTGTAAATGGAGTCCAAACAGGAAGCAGAACACCAGCTTCTCCCTTCCCGGCCATAGGTCCCCAGGTGCTCCCTCCCCACCATGACCGCCCTTCACAAGAACCTTCCTTGAATCAGTGTCGGGATGGTTTAAAGCCTTGGGAGGGAATCACCCCACAGAGTCTCTTTGGTGTTTGTCCATGCTGTGGTGCGGAGCACCGGAAACTGGTATGGCCTGTTGTGTTGTGTGGTTGCCACTATAGATGCGTGTGCCATGTCCCCTCCATCCTGGCTGCTGCTGGCCACTCTTGGGCCTCTCTGGGAGGCTAACTAGCTGCCAGCTCCGTTGCAGGCACACAAGGTCCCCTTGCCCCTCCCCAAGACTCACCAGGGAGCAGGAGATGCAGGCAGGAAGGTGTCCCCTTCTGTCCCTCAGAATCCTGCGGATGTTAGAGTTGGGGTGCTGGGGGTATGGCTCAATGTCCTCTCTCTCTTTTTCTCCAGTGGATGAATTTGGGCTCCAGAGCACTATAAGGACTCAGTGCTTTAGGCGTGGGGGCTTGAGAGGGAGGGATTATAGTGTGGGAGTGTCACAGTCCATAGGGATCTCCCCAAGTCTTAGCTCAGGGGTGTTGGCGCTAGTCTGTCCACAGGACCCATAAACAAGCTATGGGTTAGTGGGGCCTCCTCCATGGGGGGACTGGCCTTGGCCTCCTAAGGTCCTGGTAGAGGGCTGATGGAGGTCAGATTCAGTAGAAGAACACCCCCTTTTTTAGTTTTTTTAGGCCACACACAGTCATGCTCAGGTCTTACTCCTGGCTCTGTGCCCACCAGTCATTCCTCATGGGAATCAGGGGACCATATGCAGTGCCAGGGTTGATGACATTAAGGCAGGTGCCCTACTGCTGTACTGTCTCTCCAGTCCCTACATAACCCCCCTGCAGCTCTGAGCTTGTACCAAGAGGGTTAAGGATATGCAATTGGAGGGGTGGGGGCTGTGGAGCTCTACCCAGAGGGGTTGCCTCACCTGTGTATGGCCCTGGATTCAATCCCAGAAACTGCAAATGATAATAATAATAATAATAATAATAATAATAATAATAATAATGGGCTGGAGCAATTGCACACCAGTAGGGTGTTTGCCTTGTTCACAGCCAGCCTGGTCGAGCCGGGTTCGATTCCTCCATCCCTTTCGGAGAGCCCGGCAAAATACCAGGAGTATCTCGCCCACACGGCAAAGCCTAGCAAGCTACCCGTGACGTATTCGATATGCCAAACACAGTAACAACAAGTCTCAAAATGGAGACGTTACTGGGCCTGCTCGAGCAAAATCGATGAACAACGGGAGGACAATAATGATGGTGATGATGAAAGTGTGCATCTGAGAATAGAGAACTATTTGGGAGGGTTCAGGTGCCTGCGGACCTGGATTTGATCCCTGAAACCACATACGGTCCCCTGAGCCCTGCCAGGGGTGTTCTCTGAGCACACAGCCAGGAGTCAGCCCTGAGCACCGTCACTTCTGGGGCACACGGGACTATGCCTGTGGGTCCAGGTGGGCCTCCCTCTCCTAGGTAGGGCAGTCGTTAACCCTGGTCCCCCACCTCACCCTCCCCCCTCCCCCACACAGGTACCTGGCTACCGGCAGGAGCGCGTGGAGAAGGGCCTGAAGCTCTTCGCGCAGCTCATCAACAACAAGGTCTTCCTGCTGTCCTTCATCCGCACACTCGAGTCCCAGCGCAGCTTCTCCATGCGGGACCGTGGCAACGTGGCCTCGCTCATCATGACCGTGCTGCAGAGCAAGCTGGAATATGCCACCGACGTGCTCAAGCAGCTGCTGGCTGACCTCATCGACAAGAACCTGGAGAGCAAGAACCACCCCAAGCTGCTGCTCCGGAGGTGAGGGGCACGGCCCCGGGGAGGTCCACGGGGGCCCAGCTTAGGTGCTGGCCCGGCTGGGGTGCCTCCCATGCCCCCTTGGGAGAGCCGGCCCCCATGTGGCCTGATCATGGCCCCTCTGCTCCCCCCTTCCATTCCTTCTCTTACAGCTGTTGGTGCTTCTCTCTCTCTCTCTCTCTCTCTCTCTCTCTCTCTCTCTCTCTCTCTCTCTCTCTCCTTCTCCCTTGGTTTTGACCCCTTCTCCTGGAGTTCTCCTCTAGGACCTCTTTTTAGAGCTCAGTCCCCCTCCTTTGGGCTGATTCCATCAGAGCTCAGGTTAGAGGTGGAGGTGGGGGGGGGCGGAGGAACCCCACCTCCCCATCTCCTGAGCCAACATTTTAGCACCCCTGGTCACTCCCATGCACGGGGCCCCGTCTCTGCCTGCTGGTGTCTGAGCCACACCTGCCAGCTGAAGATCAAATGAGTGGAAAGAGAAAACAGCTCCAAGGACCCTGGAACTGACTGGAAACTCAGCCTGACTTCGCCCTGCCCCATGCCCATGGAAACAGAACCAGAGTTTATCTTTTTTAAATTTTAATTATTTAAAAAATTCTTTTTTAAAAAGGCTTAATTTTTATTTTATTTTATTTTGCTTTTTGGGTCACACCCAGCGATGCACAGGGGTTACTCCTGGATCTGCACTCAGGAATTACCCCTGGCGGTGCTCAGGGGACCATATGGGATGCTGGGAATCAAACCCAGATCGGCTGCGTGCAAGGCAAACGTCCTAACCGCTGTGCTATTGCTTGAGTTTCAGTCACACAATGATAGAACACCCATCCCTCCACCAGTGCACATTCTCTACCACCAATGTCTCCAGTATACCCCGCCCCCCTTTCCAACCCTTCTCCTGCCTCTATGGCAGACAATTTCCCCCATACTCTCTCTCTCTCTACTTTGGGGCACTTCGAGAATCAGAGTTTAAATCAGTAAGGCCGTGGAGGTGCATGGCAGGACTTCCCAGTTTGCAAAACCCCAGTGTACCCTGTGTTTGAGGGAAAAGCTCTGTGACCGCTTGCTAGCAGGATGCATCTCCAGCACCTGCTGTGAGCTCAGCCCCCCCGCCCCCCTGCTGTCTCCTCTTGGGCAGGCTCCAGCTCCTGGGAAAGAGAGACCCCACTTGCACCCCCTTCCCTCCCTGCCTGTCCTTCTGCCCAGGGGCTATCATGTCCTCTGGGCAATCTATCGTTTGCCTCGGGCAGATGCATTTAGAAAACGCACATCACGTTGTTCTGTGCAGCCTTCTGCCTGCAGCTTCAAGATCTTGGCTGTGCCTGCCCCCACCCCTGCCCCTCGCCTGTCATCCTCAATCTCGAGGTCTAAGGCACACCCCCCACCCCCCTGCTCCATGCACAGAGAGTTTTGGCTTTCAGAAGTGTTTACCGCAGGCTCTTCCCTGGTTACGGCGGGTTGGTGCCTGCACAGCTGCGAAAGGTTGCTACCCGCCGGCGCAACCCTACAGCTTTGCAAACAGCAAGGTAGATCATTTTGATTTTTGTTTTACTTTCACCACGCAGCCCCCTGCCAGCATAATTCTAGGGCTCCCACCGCCTGCTGGAATTCTACCACCAATTTCCTGGCGTGGTTTGGCTCCTGTCTGCGTGGCTCCTCCCCTCTCTCCCAGCTGCCCAACTCTGCATCTCCTTTTCTCCTCTTGACCCCTGGGGGCGGGCCCCTCCTTCCCACCCTGGCCTCCCTTTTCTCTCTTCTCTGGTCTGCTGGCAGCTGCCCAGCTGCTGCGGGATTTTCGTTACTCCTCTCTCCTGGTCCCAGCAGCCTGCCTCGCTGTTGGAACTTCCCTTTTCCTCTCTGCTGCTGGCCCAAGCTGGGCGTGTGTTTGAATGCCATGTGCACTCCCAGGATGGAAGTTACAGGAAGTGTCATGCTGTAGGGACCCTGCCCCAACTGGGGCTGTACTCCTAGAGCCAAAGAATCCATGGGCTTGGGAGGAGGCGGTGTGGCATGAGAGGGACATGTTAGACTCTGGAAGGGACTTTCTGTGATTGCAAAGGAAACCGTAGGAGGCTTCTTGCAGGAATTTCCAACTGCAAAGGGAAGGAAAATTTCTCTTTGACAGAGCATGATTTTGGTCTCTCAGACTGAGTGAGGTGTACGGTTCCAAGTTGCTCTCAGCTCTAGGGGTCTTTTGCTTAAGTGAGGGGCTCAGTCTCCCCATTCTCTTGACCCATCCGCTGCCAAATTAGGGATCCGTCTCTCGTGTCAGTTAGCTTCTCTGCTGTTGTTTCTGTTTCTTCTTCCTCATGGCAAAGGAGCACCTGTCTCTGGTCAAGTTCCCAGAGGTGGAACCCCAGAGGTGTTCACTGGGGCAGCTCTGAGCCCATTTGCATCCTGGCGTGGTTCTTGTCCGGATTCATTTATACTAAGTACAGTACAGTTCTTCCAGCCACGAGCTGCTTTCAGTGGCTGGAGAACACCCTTGACCAGATCTATGCTCTGGGATTGAATGGACACCAGACGTTCTTATCTCCAGAAAGGCTGGTGGTGGACAATTCTGTTCCAGCATGTTACCCCCACTCCACCCACAATGTTCCCAGCTTTGTTGGCAAAGCTTGGACTCTCATGATGGGGGTGTTTGGGAGTCCAAGGCATCACAGCTCCATGGGGGGCTCCAGATTGAGCCTACATCCTCCCCCACCTTCCCAGCCTTAGGGTCTAACCTCCCACTTCTGTCTCTTTGTCTTGCTCGCCTGGGTCCTTCGGTGATGGTGGCAGGACGGAATCTGTGGCTGAGAAGATGCTGACCAACTGGTTCACTTTCCTGCTCTACAAATTCCTGAAGGTACGATTCATTTTGTGCATGCCAGGGGCACTTGTATTTTTTTTTTTGGTGGGTGGGGGGTGACACCTGGTGATGCTCAGGGCTTACTCCTGGCTCTGCACTCAGGAATTACTCCTGACAGTGCGGTGCGGGGGGTGGGGGGCGCATATGGGATACCAGGGATTGAACCCGAGTTGACCATGTGCAAGGCCTTCCTACTATACTATCACTCCCATCCTGGAGACACATCTCAAGGGTCACATCAGACACATCTTCCCAGTGTCACACAAGGTCACACCGATGGAGATGTGCAGACAGTGTTACTCCAGAGCAGTGAGTGCGGCAGGGGCTGGTGTGCTAGCGTGTATGACCAGCCGACTCCGACCTTTCCTGCTGGAGCTGAGCCTTCCTGTGCCACCATAGGGCCTCACCATGACAGCACCACGAAAACAAAGCATACTTTGTTCCATCCCTAGAGTCTTTGAATGAAAACAAAATCTCTGGCCCTGCCTCAGTTTCCCTGCCAGCCTGGGCATGGGCCTGCATCCTCCTCATTTCTCTCCATGGTCCGCCAAGACCACACTCAGGGCCCCAACTCCTGGAAACCCCGCCAAGCAATGAAGACCCTCTCGTCCTCATTGCTTGCCTCCACAGACAAGATCCTGTCATGAGCCCCGGCCCGAGAGTCAACCCCACGGGCTACCAGCGGCCCCATTCCCAGTTCCAGCTCTGCATCCATCCGTCGGCCTGCTCCCCCGGCCCTCTCCCTTTAGCTGCTCCCAGCCCCAGACCTAGCGAGACTGATAAGGAGCCTGCAGTAGAGAACGAACCATGTGTGGCACCAGATAAGCCCAGGGTTGCCTGGGACGTGGGAGAGGTGCCTGCTTCCCATTATGAACATGTTCGTTAAAGTGTTCGCAGCACGGGGGCTGACCTCTTTCTCCAGAAGTGCTGCCAGGAGAGCAGGCAGGTGGCAGGAAGGGACAGAAGAAAGCAAGGGCTCAGGGGGTTGGGGTGGGTTGAAGGGAAAAAGACCCCTGTGGCCCCAAGAACCCAAAGGAAAGTTTGCATCAAGGAGACCGTTGAAAAAGCAAATGGAAGAGTTAAGGTGCTTGCCTTGCATGCAGCCAGGTGGAATTTGATTCCTAGTGCCATATCTGGTCCCCTGAGCCCTGCCAGGAGTAAGCCCTGAGCACCGCTGGGTTTGGACCTCAACCACCCAGATTATATAAAAATATTATAATATTTCATATTTATTGATCATTGGTGCATTCTGCTTCTTGGCCGGATCATCACCAGCATCTCAACCTGAGATGTCTACTCTCAGCTCTTTCCCCTCTGGAGAAGCCCAGGTTCTCACTGTGCCTCTGTCTCTGTCTGTCTGTCCGTCTGTCTGTCTGTCTGTCTGTCTGTCTCTCTCTCTCTCTCTCTCTCTCTCTCTCTCTCACACACACACACACACACACACACACTCACTCACACTCCCTATCTCTCTGCCTATCTCTGTCTCTGTCTCTCTCTTTGGCTCTCTTTCTCTGTATTTGTTTCTGTCTCTGTCTTTCTGTCTGTCTCTCTCCCTGTCTGTCTGTTTCTGTCTCTCTCTATTTGTCTGTCTGTCTCTCTCTCTCTCTCACACACACACAGACACTCACACTCTCTGTCTCTCCGCCTGTCTCTGTCTTTCTCTTTGACTCTCTTTTTCTGTCTCTGTTTGTCTGTCTGTCTGTCTCTTTCTCACACACACATACTCATACTTGTTGTCTGTCTGTCTCTGTCTCTCTGTCTCTGTTTCTCTCTCTCGCACACACACTCACACACTCTGTCATTCTCTCATGTAATACCCACATCTATACACACACACACACACACACACACACACACACACACACTCATACACTCATGTATCTTTAAAGGTAAAGGCAAAGGTAAAGGCCCTCCCATTGATCGTCGATTTGCTCGAGCAGGCCCAATAACGTCTCCATTGGAGACTTTGTTGTTACTGTGTTTGGCATATCGAATACTCTTGCTTGCCGGGCTCTCCGAGAGGGGCAGAGGAATCGAACTTGGGTTGGCCATGTTGGCCGCTTGTAAGGCGAATGCCCTTACCGCTGTGCTATCGCTCCAGCATGTATCTTTAAATAAAATTATTTTACATCTCACCCCCCTGAACAGAAAGACAAAGTCAAATTAAATGAAAGCAAGTGGATGTGGGAAAGAACTGAGTGGATGAAGAGGCAGCCCTTTGGGGCCCTTCCACATGGGGGCTCATGGTTCTCCTCTCCCTGTCCAGGAGTGCGCTGGGGAGCCCCTCTTCTCCCTGTTCTGTGCCATCAAGCAGCAGATGGAGAAGGGCCCCATCGATGCCATCACGGGCGAGGCCCGCTACTCGCTGAGTGAGGACAAGCTTATCCGGCAGCAGATCGACTACAAGACACTGGTGAGCCTCCCTGGGGCCCCGCGCTGAGTCACGGCACTCCGGCCCTGCCCCTCCACATGGCAGGGATCTGAGGTTACAGGAGAATTGTTGCCTGGCCAGGGCTCCCCCACCCTTCCATGCTCTCTTTGTACCCCCAGTCCAGGGCACCTGGGTCTGAGGTCGGGCTCCCCTGCATCATTCTGCAGTGTGGACACTGGAAATGTCCTTTCTGCAGCTGTCCAGACAGTGAAGAGCTTTGACTGTTTTCCAGCTTGGAATGTCCAGTCCTTATAGAGCAGAACTCTGGGGAAGAGGGCTGGGGACACACTGGAGGAAAGGATACCTCAAAGAGTTCCTGGCTTTGACCCACTGGCCACAGTTGAAGTCAGTCCATGCCCAGGCTCTAGGGTGTGAGGGGTTTGTTCAGGGAACATGGGTCCTGTTGAGGACCCTGTTAGATTCCTGTGAAAGCTCCTTCAAGGAGACAGCACCAGGCTGGAAATAGGAGGCCCCCGGAAGAGAGTTAGTTCCTAGCTGGGTGACTGGGGCCAGGAACCTGAGTCTGACTTAGCTGTTTATAATGTGAAAAATGGAGAAGGTTGGGGAACGAGAAGGTAGTTGGGGGTAAGGGGCTTGCCTTGCATGTAGTTGGCCCCAGTTTGGTCCCCAGCACTGTGTATGGTTCCATGAGCACTGTCAGGAGAGATCCCTGAACACAGCTTAATGTGGCCCAATGCCCCAGTGGGAGTGGTAATTTGGACTGGAGGGAGAGGGATAACACAACAGCCTGGAGAAATGCTCCAGGAACAAGCTGGGACTCTGTCCCCAGCATGACATGATACCCTGAACACTGTCAGGAGTGACCCCCAAACACAGAGCCTGAAGTAGAACCCGAGCACAGCTAGGTGTGGCCCCCAGACTGTAAGAGAAGGGTAATCCTAGAGCATACTAAGATGGGGATAGGAATGAGCGTCCCCGCTACCCCATTCCAAAGGCCAAGGGTGTTCCTTGGTTTTTCCCAAAACTCCCTTCCTGAGGCAACTCACGGACTTTCCTGGATAGAACTGTGAGCTCCCACTGGCCTTTCGAGGAAAGGGGAGGCGTGAAAGGAACGAGCAATTAAAAGATGAGTACTAGGGGTGATGGGGACACCCCAAAAGGGCAATATGAGGGGGAGTATAGAGAACAGAGGGTGAGGGACTTGGCCCTTCACTCACTAGTGAACTGAGCATGGCGGAGCCAGGCAGGAGACCTGGGATTGGGGTGAGTCCCTAATTCCAAGGCCAGCTGGGGGAACAGTCCCCACCTGCCACTCTGGGCAAAGCTGTTCCTGTTGCTTAGGAACTGTATGACCTCTCCAGACACTCCTATTCTGCTCCAACTTGAGGGCCCAAACCCCCAGAGGTGTGTGTCAAAGACGGGCTTGCTAGGAGTGGCCCACTGAGGGGACTGCGAAGGAACACCTGTAGGTGGGGTTGCCTTTCTGGCAAGTCCCTGCCCCTGAGTCAGCAGGAAAGGGGGCAGAGTTCCAGAAACAGAGACCAAGAGGGACTCTCAACGCTGCTCTCCCTTACCCCCACCCCCACCCCAGTCTCCCTCCCTCCCTCCCTCCCACCTCACAGCAGCTCACCAACACCAACATGGATTCAGTGCCAAGAGTTGCTCTCCCCTGACACAACTAGATACAACTAGGCTTCACGATAACGCCCTTGAAGAGAATTGGGGGTGGGCGGACAGGGTGGTTCAGATGAGCGTCTGGCAATTGTGGAGGCTCAAGGGGTGCTGGGGACACATCCTGCAGCACAGTCCAAAGTCTCGACAGTCCAGGTCTGGGGACAGGGAAGTGCAGCTGTAAAATAATCCTTGTTCTGCCCATCCAGAAGCTTCCATCCAGTCCATTAGTAGCAGAAGGTGTAAACTGGAGGCTGGGAGAGGGGGAGAAAGGGAGCATGGAAGGGGTCCGGAGGAAGAGGAGGAGGAGGAAGAGAGGGAGGGGAGGAAACAGAGGTCGCTGTAGCCCCAGGCACTTCCAGTCAAGGGTGGCAGCCTGGTCCTGTGCAGGATGGGAGAGACCAAGGCATGGTACCTAGACCAGAGGCTGGGCCGGGCCCTCCAGGGTGAAGTGTGAAGCGATGGGCTGGTGGGAGCTGGAGCTGGACTGTCTTGGCTTTGAACTGTGCTGCAGGACGTGTCCCCAGCACTCCCTGAGCCTCCTCAGGTGCAAAATGCTCATCTGGAGCCTGCGACCTCACATGTGTACTCCTGAAAGCCTTCTAGAAAGCGAGGTTCCCACCAACTGGTCTGCTGGAATGCTCCAGCCAGGCCGACCCAAGAGCCTGCTGGGATGCCATGGGCCCACATGGAGGTGGCTTCCTTCAGAACCTCAGGTCCCGGACCTACAAGTCAGCATCGGGCTCTTTGCAAAGCCCTTTCATGTGGCCCATTCACATGGTGGCCAGACAAGCACCAGGTCCTTTGCTCCAAAACTAGGAGCAGTGGGAAGTGGGAGGATATAGATTTCGTGGGAGAAGGCTTGCAACAGGGAACTTTAGAGCAGAGACTTATAGCTGGGGTCTCTCAATGGGGACCCTGTGTCTTCTCTGGGTACTTTGAGGCATCCAGTGGAGTTGTCGGTGAGTCCACGCCCATGGGCCCAGGGCACAGAGGGACGGTAGAAACACTGAGAGTCAACTCAGCCTCATGTTCTCTCACTGCATCCTCCTACCTGTGTCCAGCCACAGAGGGAAGGTGCCAGGGACACGCAGAGAGGGAAGGAAAAAAAAGGGCAGGGAGGGGTGTCCTCGAGCTGGGCTGTGTGGGCTCAGGCTTCCCCGGGACTCTGCTTTCTGTTTAGGGACCTTTCACGGGGGAAACTGTGGTTTATGACTTCGGGAGGCTTTGGCTTCTCCAGGGAACCAGCCCAGCCCCTTAGAGCTCAAGGCAGTCTGGCTGTTAATGCAAGGCAGGTGCTTGCGGGGGAGGGGGGCGTCCCCAATTGCCACCACATGAGGGAGGATGGGGCTGTGCGGGGCTGGCTGGGGTCTGAGTCTGCAAACCAGACATACGGATTAAAGTGCAGAGAAGGGCCCAGCAGACCAGCAGTCAGGTCAGAGTGAGCGAGGGGAACCCGGAGTAGCAGGGCCTTGGGTATCACTCACCCCCTCCCCGAGCTCCCCACCCCTCCTGCGGGGACCCCCACACTTTCTCCTCCAGGCGAAGAGCAAGAGAGAGGCTTCATCCAAGCAGTGAGGCAGGAAACACTTTTTGGAAATAGACCAGAACTTTTTTTTTTTTAAATGAAATCATATCGTTTAGGGCTTTCAACAGTCTTTAACTTTTTCAACTGATTCCAACAAGACAGACAGAGGTTTCTGAGCCAGGCTGGACTTCTTGCCCCGAGTGGGGTTTTAGGGCCACAGCCAGGAAGGGGATCGCAGGTCACCTGAATCTGCAATTTTATTTTTTAAAGGTCATTCTTTTTATATTTTTGAAGAAAATGTTCCCTGCTCAGCCCTGAATTCTTAGAAACAGCGAAGCTTGGAAGTCGTGGAAGATGAGAGGCACATGAAAGAGAGAGAGAGGGAGAGAGAGAGAGAAAGAGAGAGAGGGAGGGGAGGGAGGGAGGGAGGAGTTGCATGAGTGGATGGCAGTTACCCTATGGCAGCAGAGAAAGAGAGAGAGAGAGAGAGAGAGAGAGAGAGAGTTGCATAAGTGGATGGGAGTTACCCTGTAGTGGCACAGAGAGAGAAGGAGGGAAAGAGGGAGGGAGGCAGGGAGGGAGGGAGGGAAGGAGAGAGGGACGGAGGGAGGGAGGGAATTGCGTGAGTGGATGGGAGTTACCCTGTGGTGGCAGAGAGAGAGAGAGAGAGAGAGAGAGAGAGAGAGAGAGAGAGAAGGAGAGGGAGAGGGAGTTAGTTGCATGAGTGGATGGGAGCTACTCTATGGTGATCAGGCCGCTGAGATAGTACCACACGTGTGTATGTGTGTGTGTGTGTGTGTGTGTGTGTGTGTGTGTGTTTGATGCAAGCGTACATGTGTGAGTGTGTGCATGTGCAAGAGTATGTGAGTGCTCACCTTCATGTCCCTGGGGGTTCAGTGTCTTCAGGAGCCCATGGTGACTGGCAGTTCAACATACAGCTCTCGTGTCCAGTTCTTCAGCGGCCCTGAAATCTGGGACCCTCCTTCTCCCTGACTTCACACGAGGCTACGCCGGCCCCACTCCTGACTGAGCGCAGCCTGCCCAGGAGGAGCCACTGAGCCAGGATCCCGGAGGCAGCAGCAGCAGTGAGTCTGGGGCCTTCCTTGCTGCCCTCCTCACGTGCCTGCTTTCCTTCCACCCAGGTCCTGAGCTGCGTCAACCCTGACAGTGCCAACAGCCCTGAGGTTCCCGTGAAGATCCTCAACTGCGACACCATCACTCAGGTCAAGGAAAAGATTCTGGATGCCATCTTCAAGAATGTGCCCTGCTCCCACCGGCCCAAGGCTGCAGATATGGACCTGGGTGAGTACCCGCCCAATCTCGGGGCCGCTCGCAGACTGCATGGAACATCCATGGTGGCCCATGGCAGGACGTGGAGGGGCCAGTGGCTGCAAGGAGCAGTCATGTCCCACCCTCAGAACCACGGCGAGGGCCTTTGTGCCCTTCTGGAGCCCACACACTGACTTCACGTCCCCCCCCCCCCCCCCGGAAACCCCAGCCATGCTTTCATGGCCCCGAGAAACCAAAGAGGATGCCTTCCTGACACCTGGAAACAGGAAGCAGAGAGGGAGCGACAGCCTGCTGGTGCCCTGACCCCTGAGTTCTTTCAGCAATGCGGGGGCACGGAGATGTCCCATCCACACTGGTGGTCATTGGCATCTGAGCCCGTGAACTCTCTGGTTCTGCCTTTCACCCTGTTGTAGCCCCAGGTTCTTCCTGTCCCTTCTGCCCTGGGCTTTTCATGTTTGCTGACCACCCACCGAAGACTTGAGCAATCTGAGCTCGTGATGGAGGCTGGAGAGGAAGCCCAGAGGACAAGCTGGCACATCCTCTGGGCAGCGGGGGTCCCTTTCAGGGAAACGTTCCATGAGCACATGGTCTAGCATGGACCTGGCATGGTTTAGCTTGTAACCACCTGCTAAGGTTACATCCTCGGGAAACACCAGCAGAAACCAGAGATTTCAGACTCCTCTGAAGAGAGACCATGGGGCCCTGGAGCTCAGACTGCTCCCTGCCACCGAGTCCTGGCTTTGCTACTTTGTTCCAGTGACTTAACCTTCCGTGCCTTTGTCCCCTTGCCTGGGAAATGGGGACAATAATACCTGCCTGAGTGTAAACATGAAACGAGACCATGTGGGGTCAAAGCCTCTTGAACGGCCCTTCCTATCCACTTGGCTTGACCCATAAGCCCGTGTTCAGTAAGCATCATCTGCTGACTTGGTGATGGTCAGGATAATCGTCAGGAAACTCTATGTGTCTGTTCATCCTGGGTGAGGAGAGAAAGGCATTAACAGGAGCATGTGCTTGGGTCTGTAGACTCATGGTAGCAGAGGGGTGGGAGGACTCCAGGGGTCCCCCTAATCCCCCCATCTGGCCCCTAAGCTGGCTTGGGCAAAGCTACCAGAGACAGATGGGAACCGATGCTGTTTTCTAAAGCCCTCAGGGATTTTTATCCCCTCCTGCTTCTTTATCCTGCCTCCCTGCCACCCCCAACTCTAAAGCCCCAAGTCTCAGGACAAGGTAGTTGTACAAAGTCACTGCAGCCTTACCGCCCCGGCAGCCCAGGGGTCTCTCCGAGGGCACTGGCTGTGCCCATAGTGCCATTACCCAGGGGTGGGTGGGAATAGGATGAGCAGCAGGTGTCTCTGCACATCTTATTTGGGGGGACAGGGAGGAGGGACTGTGTGAGGGTCGGTGGTGGTGGGAGGAGAGTGAGCATGCCCAGGTGTGCCTTACCTCTATCCTGGGTAAGAATGCCTGGTGCTCACATTGTTATCTGTTGCCATACAGCGCCTGTGTGTAGAAGGTAGGGGTTGGGGGTGGGGGACCAGGACTCATAAAAGCAGTGGGAGAGAAGAATGAATAATGTGATGGAGGACCCTGGGTTCTGTACCTCCAAACAGTTATGCAGGGGACTTCATGGTGGGTTTCCTGGGAAGAGCGGAGTCACTTGAGTAACCAGGTAGAGGGCAGTATTGCTTCTGCCAAGCCTCAGGAGCCAACAGGTGTGTGTGTGTGTGGGGGGGGTGCCCTTGCATCCCCAGGCACCTGCATCTGTACATCGGGTGGGAGGGAAGCTGGCACAGAGCAACATTGCAGTGAGGGGAGGAGGAGGGAGGAGAGATCATGAAAAGGCACCTGAAGCTTGGGAAATCTTCACTGTGCCCCCCCAAAGAGCTCCAGGGTGAGGTGTGGATAGAACTATGAGTTTCTGGGCTTGGCTATGGCTTATCTCCCAGAGGCAGAGCGGGCGGCGAGTGGCTGCATCAGTGACCCCCATGAACACTGAGAGGAGCTTTGCCTGGGGTGAGTGATGAGGCATGGGCTGGGGGTAGTGTCCACACTCGTTGTGGTCCTGCCGAGGCTGGGCTGCTTGTTCTCCCACCTCATCTCCAGCCCACCTGGTGATGGTGGAACAGGGCTAAGGTCTCCTAAAAGCCAACCAGGCTCTCCTCCTTCTGAATGAAGACACCGCACGTCACGGCTGGGGGGGGGGGGGCACTGTTTGGGGCCCATCTCGGCACCTCACATTCTGTTACTGGGAAGAGGCTGCTGGTGAGAGGAGCCAACAGCCCCCCTTCCAAGGCCTGGAGTGGGTGTCAGCTGCACAGTGCTGACGGTGAATGGCCAGATGTGAAGCGTCCCTCCACGGTGGGGGGCTTAGCATCCGGACTGCAGGGAGCAACACCCAGACCCCTCTACCTTCTTCCATGAGTGAAGGAAGCTCTGGGGGGCCCTTCAGCCTCCATCTCTCCCTGGGGAAGCAGCCAGTGGTGGCTGACTGTGGGTCCTCCAGTCACCACTCACTGCAGCTGGAAGCTCCTGTGACATGCTCCCGTGGCCACTCACCCTCTAGGAACTGCCTCTCACACCTCACTGGGAAGGGAAAGACCTGCCTATGAAGGACCGATAAAGGGGGAAAGCTAAGAAGGATCTAGGGTCTTTTCCCTTTGGGGAAGAGACATCTCATGGGGCTCCTTAGGAAACCCCCCTATAAAGGAAGTTCTTTGCAGACACATTCTTTCATCTACGAAATCCAGGGCTTTGGGCTATCCCCAGGGCACTGTTCTTTCTACCCAAGCCAAATTGCTTAACCAGGAGAATTGGGTTTCCTCCAGCCCATTGTTTGCTGCTTCTTCCCCACTTTCCACTCAGTCTCATCCCCTACCCCCACCTCCCAAGGCAGCAGAGACAAAACTCATTTTTCCCCCATCACATAGGTCAAGGTACTCTGAAAGCTTGAAAGCCATTTACAAATGGCAGGTGAGACTCTAATCAAGACATGAATCTACATTGAGGGGATGCAGGATGCAAAGACAGGGAAGACACAGCCAGCCACGGCTCTGGACAAAGGCAACACCTTCTCCTTCCTTCCCCTGAGGGCCCATGCCTCCTCAGCCAAGAAGTGACCACACTGACCAGTTCTCCTCTCTGACACTCAATCCTGGCAATGCAGGGACTTGTCCCAGGCCAGGTCAGAAGGAAGTCAAGACTTTTTTTTGGGGGGGGGAGGGGCTTGGAACACACCCTGGCAGTGCTCAGGGCTTATTCCTGGTTCTGCTCTCAAACAGAACTCAAACGCTGAATTTCAACCAGGGTCACTCCTGAGTGTGCTGGGGGATAGATACACCCATAGTCAGTCACATGCAAATTAAACACCGTCACCCTTATAGTCTCTCTATAGCCCAGGAAGCGAAGACTTTAAATCATCCCTGAAATTGTCCCAAGTTAATGCAGCCCCCAGCTCCCCACTAGGTTGCCTCTCCCCTGGCCTGGCCTCTACTCCTGATACTTCTATTGATGGCCCCTCGCACTGGGACTTCTCTGTCCCTTCCCCTGCCCCTACTTCCCCAGACTTTTCCAGGCATTAAAGGACACCAATGAGGAATCACACCTGTTTTTTCTAGGGATACAGAAATAAGGGGTGGTGTTTCTGAAGAAAAAAGCTTATCTTAAGGAATTTGTTGGTACAGTGGCAAAGGGAACCGGGATTTTTTGCAGTTGCTTCAATAGAGGATAGTAGACAGAAATCCCTCACAATCCACAGAAATGTGGGTCTCACCCTTCTGGAGGTCAGCCAGGCTATGATCAAGGCATTATCTGATTTCTTATTCACTGAGAGTGTCTCCAGGGTCACTGATGCTGTTCCCTTGCTGTAGTTTCACAGGACAGAATGAGGCTTCCATTCCTAAGTGTTTCCTTCTCCTGATCCAGTTTTCCTTCTGACCCAATCACCCTCCAAGGCCCCACTGCCCAATGCTGTCTCTTGGGGATCAGGACTTCCTTGGGGATGTGGGTGAATGACTCCTCTCTGCCTGCAGGCCAGGATTTACAAAGCAGACTGAAGGCTGGTGAGCCAGACATGCTAATACATGGCTCAAATTCCAAGGTCATCTGCTGGCAGAAGTTTCTTCGTCAGAGAGGTTCATTTGGTACTACCCTGCTCGTTACCTCATTGGATGAGCTTCCTTACATCATAGAAGCTAATTTACCACCCCAATATCCACCAATGTCAGAACTCATATCCACCCCCAGCCATCTTTACAGAGACATCCTGGTTATCAAATGAAGATGTATGTGGGGATCTTGGCCAGACCACATAGGCACATGCAGGAAGGTATGGGGACTACCTGCATTGCCATTGCCTGGAATCTAGGGAGGGAAGATGCCACAGGTCTGGGGGAGAGATGGCCATTAGGAGGCCCCACCCTGCCTTGTGGTGCTCTTCTCATGTACCATGTCCCAGTCCACCAGCACAATCACCCACAGGTGTCAGGTAGAGAGTCCCCTTACACTGCAGATTCTCAACACATTCTGTGCAGCTCACAAGGTAATTTGGGAATGCAGGGTAGAGTGAGGTAGATAATAACCAGGCATGGGGTGCCCCTGTGCCTAGAAATCCACTCTACACAATAGCAGAAGGCAGGACGCTTCTCATTTGGAACTGCTCTGGGTGCTGTCACCTTCCTTTGCTGCCTGAGGAAGTAGCGGGTCTCATTCTGGGCTGCTCCAGAGGAGAATTTGTAATTCAGAGATGGGCAGTATCTGGCTCCTAGTCATGCAGCTGAAGTGGGGGGGCGGAAGGGAGATAAACACACACCCTTCCCATGCGGTCCTCCCGTATACTGATACCTCCAGCGGTTTCCCTCAATGTTATGCCAATGTTCCCTCACTGGCCCCCAGAACTCTGCCCCTCTTCCCCTCCCTGGCCCTGTCTTGTCATTCAAGTCAGGTTGAAAGGATCTCTCTCTCCCTTATTCCCCCCCAAATAAGTCATTCCTCTATGCAATAAAGAGATACAC